GTGCATGGGACGATGCTTAACCGAGCCACACCGGCCAGGGCCATCGCATAGTTCTGTAGTCAGAAGTCAAGGATGGCTTGGTGGGGTTCTCTGCTTGGAGCATCGCAGACTGAAGTCAGAGTGTTGGCTGGCTGATTTCTCAACTGGAAGGAGCTAAGGTGTCTTCTTTCAAGCTCATACCTGTCATTCACACCTTCACTTCCTTGTAACAGTCGCCTGAGATCCCTGTTTCTGTGCTGGCAGCCACTGCAGGGTGAGGGGGAGAATGCTCACAGCTTCCCCTGGCTGTTCATATTCCTTGCCAGGTGGCTTCTTCCATCCTTAAGGCAGCAGTGGCGTGTTGAATCCTCACACTTGGGATCCCTCTGACTCCATACACAATATGCTACCAGCAGGGGAAAAAACTCTGCTTTTAAAGAACTCCTGTAATTCTATTAGACCCACAGGACGATCTCCCTTATGTTTAACTCAAAAGCAACTAGTTTGGCATCTTAATTAAACCTGCAAAAGTCCTTTGCCATTCAGTGCAACGTAATCAGACACAACACCAAGGAAGCAGAGATCGGGAGTCATCTTAGATTTCTGTCTCCAACACCCGTTATAAATCCTTAAAATGCTTAGTTTCCCAGTATTCCGTGTAGCTAAAATAAAGCCATGTGCTAGGATACACCAATCAAAGGAACCTTTGTTAGATTTCCACACAAGCTAGGGAAGGAAAAGAGAGAGGAGTGCCATCTCTGGGGCTGCCTCCCCATCTGCTCCATCCTTTATTCCAAATTACTGCTATGTTCGCTGACTTTGGAAAGCAACAGAAAGGTGGAGTTACTTGGTGGACTTGCAGTGCTAAACGACGCTGGCCATAGTGCCTGCCATAATCTCCCATGTTGTGGATTGGGTCTTCAAAGGACTTACTCCGGAGTGAGAATATGAATCTTGAGGACCTGCAGCCTCCCTCTTTGGGCTTCTAGAATACAGTGGGGCCTTGACTTACGATTTTAATTCGTTCAGAGACCGAGCTCATTAAGGAGCTCATTAACTCAAATTACTCTATCAACTCAATGCAAAAAATTGGAGGAGAGACAGCTGGTATCTCAAAAAACTCGTTAGTCGGGACACTCGTAAGTCAGGGCCCCACTGTACTAAGATCCTGACAGAAGGAAACAAAACCTACTCTAGAGGAAGCTAGCATCTTATTTCTCAAGTATTTCCAAAAACAAATTCGCAAATGAAAGGTTCAGAAAAAATAAATCTGAGACCCAGCATCATGATACAGAAAAAACTGACACTCATCGGGATTCTAGATATTCAAATCATTGGAGACAATAAAATAATTGTAATAGCTATGCTCATGGAGATAAAGCCAAACTTTAAAATGCAATACAGACCTAACAACTTCAAGAAGAGATCAACCGAAGGACTTGTATGCATGCATATAAGCATAACCAATGGACACGACACTGGGGGTAGGGGAGGCCAGGGGAAGGTCAAGGTTGGGGGGGGAAAGGAGACATATGTAATACTCTTTGTAATACTTTAAGCAATAAAACAAAGAGAAAAAGTGACAAAGGAAAAACAGCAGCTGGAAATTGTGGAACTGGGTTTTTACATAGGATTAGATTGTTAAAAGAGATTGGTGAACTGGAAGAGAGGCTAGAAGGAACCTACATGGAAGCATGAAGAGAAGAGACATGTGGGATGCAAGAATATATAATTGGACTCCAGAGGAGAGGGGAGAGGGCACTTAGCAAGGACTGCACCTTTATGACCCTGTTTTGACCACCCATATGGTGTAAACTGTCCCCAGAAAGAGCAAGTGGCCCTGGGTGAGAGGACTCCCTACAATTCCTGCAGAGGGTGAAGGCTGTCATCTTGATAGCACTTCCAGCAGCTAAAGGAATAAGTCCATCTGGGCAGAACACCACAAAATCCACTGCATGTAGCTATGTCAATACTAGATCAAATCGTCTTTAAGATAAAAGGTATTTCTAGGGATAGTGAGTCTACATAATGATGAAAGTTCCATTTAACCGGAAGGAGATAATTCTAAATATATATTATCCCAATCACATGATGTCAATATATATAAAGCAAGAATTGGCAGAAATAGAAGAAATCTAAAATCATAGCATGAGACTTTAACATACTTTTCTCACTTGACAGGAAAAAAAAGATGTAACAGTGCAGAAGTAGATAAAAATCAAGTAGATATGAATGACTATAAAATAATAGGCATAATAGGCCTCTGCAGCAATTTCAGCATATACTTTTTTTTTTTCGGGCACACAGAATATTTACATTTCCTGAGTGGTAAAACAAGTTTTACCAAATTTTAAAATTCAATTGAAGGATTGAATTTAGGACAGAGTGAATCCTCTGATAACATAATTAGGTTAGACATCAATAACAAAAGTAAAATTAAATATTCATTTATTTGGAATAAGTGAAAAACAGTAAAACTCTTAGAAGAAAATATAGGGGGAAATTGAGGTGATCTTGGGTTTGGAGATGACTTTTTAAATACCACACTAAAAGCATGATCAATGAAAGAAAAACTTGGTTAAGTTGAACTTTATTAAAAGACAAGAAAAAGACAATCCAGAGTATGAGGGAAACTAGCAAAACATCTGATAAAGGATCGGCATGTAAAACATCAAGAACTCTTAAAACTCAACAATTAGAAAACAACCCATTTTAAAAATGGGCAAAGATCTGGAAAGCTCCCACAGATATATCTATGGCAAATAAGCAGCTGAAAAGATGCTTAAGATCATACATTAAGAAGATGCATATTGAAAATGAGATTATCATGATGCACCGATTAGAATGGCTAAAATCCATAACCTTGACAATATCAAATACTGCTGAGAAGGTGGAGCAACAGGAACTCGCATTCACTGCTGGTGGGAGCGCAAAGGCCACTAGAACAAGTTTGGCAGTTTCTTACTGAACTAAACCATATGCAGCAATCACAATCCTTGGTATCTACTCAAGTTTAAAACTGTCCACACAAAAATCTGCACACAAATGTTTATAGCAGTTTCATTTATAATGACCAAAGGTTGGATATTTAAACCATTTGACAATTTTACAACTTAGATAAAAATGGGCCAATTCTTTGAAAACCACAAACTGCCAAAAGTCTAGTCCTGTAACTAAATACATTGAATTCTTAAAAATTAATAAATTGAATACTTAATTTTAAAACTTTTGAAAAAGAAATATCCAGGTGCACATGGTTTCACTGAAGTCTTCCAAACATTTAAATAATTATCACCAATTCTATACAATCTCTTCCAGAAACTATGAACTGGTATCCCTCATGAACAGAGCAGCAAAAATATTAAAATATTACACATTGCAACCAAGTGGGGTTTATTCTAGGAATGTAGGACTGGTTCAATATTTGAAAATCAATCAATGCAATCCACCAAGAAGAAAAACCAAAGCAAAACCATGGCTATATCATTTGATGTAAAAATATTTGGAAAAAGTTGAAATAGTTGGGAAAACTCTCAAACTAGGGCTAGAAATCATCTTTGATATTTTGCTGACCAGTTGTAGAAAAAAACATGGTTTTATATGCCATTTCTCACTTTTTCATTATGAATGTATATTTGTCAAGTTAGGAGGATAGGACATATTTCATCCAAGACTTGTGGTGTTGGCTTTCATTTATATTCTTATTCCAGAACCTACAAAAATGTTTCTTTGCCTTCAAATCAGGTTTCCAGTAACAATGAAAAAGAACAAGTAATTTAACAAGAGAAATAGCTGTTAAGAGAGAATGGGGTGGCCCTTGCTGGTTTGGCTCAAGGGACAGAGCATCAGCCTGCCGACTGAAGGGTCCCGGGTTCGATTCCGGTCAGGGGCACATGCCAGGGTTGTGGGTTCAATCTCCAGGAGGGGGCGTGCGGGAGGCAGCCGGTCAATAATTTTGGCTTGTCATTGATGTTTCCATTGCTCCCTCTTCCTTCCTCTCTCTGAAATCAATAAAAATATTTTTTTTTAAAAAAGAGAATGGGGTGAATGGAAGCATTAAAATACCTAAAAAGTATACACCTGAAAGGCCTAGAAAAAGAGAAATCACCAAGGAATCATTATTTTATCAAATGAAAGCTTTGCTAACATGAAGTTTTATTCCCCAAGTTGCCTTCATTGTATGAAGGTAACATCATATATTCTGCAAGGACTCAGAAATATGTCATTGTCTTCTGGGAAAAAAAAATTACTTGAACATTCACAGTGGGCCATGAAGACAGAAATCAAAATTAAGAACTAGGAAAAAGGTAATTACAATTTAAAACAGCTCCCCTAGCTCACTCAGCAGGACTGATGGGACTCTGCAAAGTTCCACCTCAGCCATCTTCCTTAGCTCCCAGGCTTTCTTAACCCACATCAAGAAATGCTTTGTCTCAGGCCCTATTCTTTACCTCCCAGTTGCTATGCAACCACTTGACATCCGTTACCTGACACTCATGCTATTCTCTTCTGGCACCTAACACTGGCTGACCTCTTTGCATCATACCAACCAAACGAAGAGTGGCACATTTTGCCGTTTTCAGTGTCAATGAATTTTAATAATTTTCTGCATCTCTCAAATTCATCAACAATCCTCCTCCCTAGTCAGACATATCCCTAAAGCCCTAATTACTTAACATGAGGGGAAAATCAAAACACAAAGGAAGAGAGCAAATAAGCACGTGAAATATGCTCATCACTGATCATTGTTAAGAAATACAAAATAAACCACAATGAGCTATGGTTCCACATCCACTAAATGCTAAGATAACCAAAGCAATAACGAATTGCAACTAAAAATACCAGTACCTGGCAAGGATTTGAGACACTGGGACCATCACACGTTGCTGGTGGGTGTGTAAAATGGTACACCTACTTTGGAAATCGGTTTGCAGTTTCCTTTAAACACACCATATGACACAGTAATCTTAATCAGGCATTTACTGAAGAAAAATAAAAACATACCCATACACAGACTTGCATACACATATTCATAGCAGCTTTATTTATAACAGCAAAAAACAAAAAACTCAAAGGTCCATCAACAAGTGAGTTTATAAACAAACTGGTATAACCATACAATGCAAACTATTAAACAATAAAAAAATAAGCTAACTACTGATACATGCAACATAAATATCTCTAAACCATTGTTTAGGGAAAGAAGCCAGACACAAAAGACTACATATAATTCCATTTGAAATTCTAGAAAAGGTAAAACATTAGTGACCAAAGCAGATCAATGGTTGCCTATGGAAAGTGGGGGTCAGGAGATTGATAAAGGAAAATAAGGGAAATATTTTTAAAAAAATCCTCACCCAAGGATATGTTTTTTAAAATTGATCTTGGATAGAGAGAGGGAGGAAGAGAGAAACATCAATGTAAGAGAGAAACATCAATCTGCTGTCTCCTGCATGCACCCTTACCGGGAATGGAACCTGCCATCTTCGGTGTATGGGATGATGCTACCAGCTGAGCCACCCAGACAGGGCAACAAAGGAAATTTTTAGGTGATGGGAATGTTTTATATCAAGCTTCTGGTGGTAGCAAATACATGACTTCATACATTTGACAAAATCCACAGATTTATACACTTAAATTGGCTAATTTTATTATATATAAAATAATACCTTAAAGCTTAAAAAAGATGTAAATATATCAAAATGGGTAAAATCCTTGTTAAATTTCTAAAGTCTACAATGATATATATTGTTTTAAAATCAGAATAAAAATGCCATTTAAAAACAATTATAAAATATGATTCTACTACATAATCACAATTACTTAAAAATAAATATACACAAACTCAGAGCTAAAAAGTGGAAGGAAAATTGCCATTTACTTTGGGTGAGAGGGTATTAAATTCCTTCTAAAGGCATTTGTAAATTAGGGTGGACTTTGTTTTAAAAATGCAGTTAAAATTATTTGTAATTATCGGTATAAATCAGCAATTATCAACCAGTATGCAGCAAGAATTTTAAAAGCATGCATTACCTGATGATTTAGTTAGGGGCACTGACTTCTTTTCCCTTAAGACTGTCAAAATGACAACAGCCAACACAACAATAGCTGTCTGGTGTGAAAAAATCAAAATCATGCCCTTTTTTTTGTCGGATCGGCAAAAAAATATACTTTCCGGTGTGCCGCATAATTTTAATAATTAGTTTATGTGTGCCATGAGATGGTTGAAAACCGCTGGTATCTAGAGCTTTTGTTCTAGTTAATGAATTAGGAAGGTGTCACATGGACCCAACTTTTAAAAGACATTTTTAATGATTATTCAGTGATTCGTTTACACTTTGATTTTTTGTAAGTTTCTGTTTCCGGGTTATTTGTTCAAGAGTTATCCTCAGTATCACTCAGAACAGTGAGGCAAATACATTTTCGTCTTAATTTAATGTCTTATTCTTTAAAACTACCAAGTAAATAGTTCCCAGACCTGGAATACATTTTCAATTCAGTAACACACTACTTTGTAAACAAAAGAAAGAGAGCAAAAATAGCACCTTCAATTAAAATTTCCATCCTGACCAGCTGTAGAGAAGACATAAATTGGGGGTGGTAACTGCTTAATTTCTTCGAGTAGCTCATCTATTAAAACAATTCTTCAGGAACATTTTTTTCAATTTATATGGAGACCAAATATTGGTTCGCAAACATGGAAACCAACTAACTAGTAATCTTGTTTTACAGATTTAAAAAAATGCTTTCTGTCAAGACCATTGTGGCCAACTGTGTATAGTAAGAGCAAAAAGTCATTCTTTAGAACAGAACCTAATGGTCAACTTGAGTTTAGGGGCAAAACTAAGGTGCTACAATATTGTGACATGACTCAATACAAGAACAGTGAGAGACAGGTCACTTTTGGGAGACTAGCCAAGGGAATGGACTTAGGACACACAGGACATTCCACACCTTAGAAGGCAATGGTAGGTGGATACCCATTCCCAGAAATGGAGCAGTACCTGAACCAATGCTGTTTACAGATCATCATGGCATTATCAGGAAATCCCAGGCATTGTAGGATACTCTTCCTTTGTGTTCTTTGTATTTACTGGAAGGCACAGTAAGATTTGTGGCTTTTAGAGTACAGCAGGAGGTTCTTGATGTTTCTTCTGCAGTATGTCCAGTACCACCACTTACATACCCTTTTATCAGACATATGCGTCAAACTATTAGATCACAAAATAAATGGTAAAAACAACGCTCAGCTAACAATGCTTGGTGATGAATAGTTTGTGTTTCAATGACAGATTTTTTGCATCTGTGAGTAGGGGTTTGGATAATTCAGCGGCTCCCTAGCGTTATCAAGGACTGATGATTTTCACTACTGTCCCAGGGAAACAACCTTGTGACCATAAAATGACTGTAGCCGTTCTCATCCAGACGAGGAGGAGAGCAGAACTTCCTGTGCCAAGTCTGTTAGTGGGGGAAATCTTTCTCCCACGCCCCAGGGCAGGTTCACGTAGTCATGCCTTATCAGTTACTTAAAAGGGAAATAAGACCATGAAGGGTCCAACATCCTCGGGCACAAGGCTGCACAGAGGGGGAATGCTTGAACAAGCAAGTAAGAGGGAGGGACAGGATGGCTGTTGGGTAATAACCAGTATTTCTCACAACTGGATAGGGCTAAAAACACACAGTACATGGCACACTAACGTCCACTGGCTGAGAGGGTAAACTAGTACTCAGAGTATGAAAAAAAGTATAATATAATGGACTATGATAAAAATATATTTCAGGGACAAATAATACCTAAGATTTAGTGAGCATACTCTACATGCCAGACACTAGTCTATGTACTTTATGTGCATTAACATATTCAAACCTCACACCGCTACCTGTATTTTACAGACAAGGAAACAGAAGTGAAGTGACAGCTGAAATTTTAACTTAGGAGTTAGACTCCAGACCCATGCTCTCAATTGCTACCTTATGCTGCACAAGGTAATGTAAAAGAGGAATGAATATATTCTAAAACCATTTTTAAAAAATCAAATTAACCAAGGGAGAGGTGGAGAGGTAGAAACCAAGCCAAAAGGGTAGCAGACATTTACACATTGTACATTTTATTAAATACTGGGTTTTATTAGAACAAATGAACTTCTGATAGAAGTTTCATTTAAAAAATGTGGCTGTGTTCAAATTCCTACTTGACACTGCCTTTTGGGTAAGCATTCTATTTTTACCAGTTCTATACTCAGTCATTATGGGCAGAAAAATTATTTTTTTCATAACAGAACAAAGGACTTTCTCAAGTGGTACAACACTATTTATAAGAGGAATAATCCCAAAGTGTATGACCACACAGAGTATATGATCAGAGAACACATTGTTTTTATGGTATATTTATAATATCTACAGACAACATTGCGAACTCATGCACAGTAAGTCTTTACTATCTACTGAAGGTTCTACCTGACACATGAAAATTATCCATGTCCCAGGGTTTGGCATTTAGCCAAACATTAAACTATGATGGAAGATGGCTATCAAATTGGCTTTTCCGACCACACAGAAAAGGTGTCAGCTGCAACCTCCATCCTGGAGTCGTGGTGGCAAGTTCCTGGGAATTGCTTTTTCCTGTGTTTTGATCAAGTCTGTAATGGCTGAGAGCACTGCACAGTCTCTAGATTTAGTGTCCTTCCAATCGACAGGATGGGGGCTTTCGATCTTCTCTTGCAGAAGGGTATCTAGTTCCTTTCTTAATTCCTAAGGTTGGAAAAATTACACAAGTTCAACAAAGGCAGATGTACAATAAAACAATGTAATAAATAAAAGTGACTAGCTGAGACAGGAACTTCATAAGTTGTTATACAAAAGACTGAAATATTTAGTAAGCAACTGAAGTTCAGTAAAATTTAAAAATTTAAGCTTCCATCTCACTTAGACATTTACAATGGTTGGTCAGTAAACTACCTCAAAAAACAATGAATCAATTTCTCAACACTATTTGTTTTGCTGAAATATATCAAGAAATGCTCACAAAACATATAACACCCTGAACAAAACCACAAGACAACATCTTAACTGGCAAGTATATTCAAAGACAATCACATAAAGCCAGTCACCTTAACCAAATGGGCAATCCTTGCTGGAGACTGAAAGACAATCCATTCATCTACAGCAATAGTTTCCTGATCATTATCTTTCTGGATGGAAATATCACCTCCAAAGAACAGGAGACAGTATGGGGAAACTTCTGTGCAGTCATACAAGTATATCTATAAGGAAATTAAAGCAAATTAGAACATTAAAGAGTCTGAATTACTGCCACAGTAATCCAATTATAAATAGTATCAATTTGCTATTAGTATTGATCCTTTTAAAATAGGTATTATCCTATTCGTGTAATTAGAGACTAGTTATGAAGAAATAATTTTAAACAAGCCATTCTTAACTCAGAAAACATAGTTTTATATTTTTATTTCAATTCAAAGAATATCATTATTCTTAAAATATTTTCTGAGGGACAAAACCAAAACACTAAAACAGTTGAAACTATTTTTAAAACTTTATAAACAGAATCCCACTTAACATTCTGACCAATACTTACCCTATATAATAAAAGGGTAATATGCAAATTGACCCTAACAGCAGAACGACTGGGAATGACTGGTCACTATGACACACACTGACCACCAGGGGGCAGACACTCAATGCAGGAGCTGCTCCGTGGTGGTCAGTGCGCTCCCACAGGGGGAGCTCTGCTCAGCCACAAGCCAGGCTGATGGCTGCCAGCACAGTGGTGATGGCGGGAGCCTCTCCCACCTCCTCAGCAGCGCTAAGGATGTCCGACTGCAGCTTAGGCCTGCTCCCCACTGGCAAGTGGACATCCCCCGAGGGCTCCCGGACTGTCAGAGGGATGTCTGACTGCCAGCTTAGGCCTGATCCCCTAAGCCAGCAGATGGACATCCCCTGAGGGGTCCCAGACTGCGAGAGGGCACAGGCTTGGCTGAGGGAGCCCCTCCCTCCGCCCCCCCCCCCCCCCCTACATGATGAAAATATTCTAGGAGGGATACCCGAAAGAAGAACAAAATATGTTTGGCCAAAGTAGACGCCGAATTAGAAGGAATCCGCCGCCCTCTCAATGAAACTCTCCTCTAGAGTTGTAGTTAGTCGGACACTCGTCCCAGTCCCAATTAATTAAAATACAAAAATGGATCATGACATACATTCACATTAAAAGTATAGTTTATTTGCTTAAGTTATAATCCATGTCATAAAAAAATTTTTAAAGAACAAATTTGCCAAAACCGGTTTGGCTCAGTGGATAGAGCGTCGGCCTGCGGACTGAAAGGTCCCAGGTTCCATTCCGGTCAAGGGCATGTACCTGGGTTGCGGGCACATCCCAGTAGGAGATGTGCAGGAGGCAGCTGATCGATGTTTCTCTCTCATCGATGTTTCTAACTCTCTATCTCACTCCCTTCCTCTCTGTAAAAAATCAATAAAATATATTTAAAAAAAAAAAAAGAACAAATTTTGTTTATACTTATGAAAAATCATACAATGACAAGAAAACAACAACACTGACATTAAGATCCATGATTATTTTTATTTACTTACACTACTGGTTCTCATCTTCAGGTGATAGATAAGCCAATTGTAATGAAACTCTGTTTGCTCCACATTAACGGATTTAGGATGAATAGAAACTAGTCCATCAGTTTTTGTGTAAACTTTCACCCTTTAAGAAAGTTAAAATGGAGTTTGTTAAAAAAAAAAAATCCTAGAGATTCCAAACCAATTCCAGAATCTAAAAAAGCGCCACAGGTAAGTTCAATTTATTTTTGCGATGTAAGTTTACAAATTTATATTGGAGGAAATATATTTTTTAATAAAACATGGAAAAATATCAGCTAAATGTGAAAACTCTATAAACCACACATCAAATCCTCTTCAAGGTATAATTACTCAACACATTAAAAAGGTGTCAAAATATTCCTTAATTATGTTTCTACTATTCCACTGAAGAACAAAGAATGAAATAAACAGCTGAAATACTTCAAAGTGATTCACACAAGGGAATGGTCTATACATAATACTGTCAATTATGATACTAAAGCCTTTAATCTACAGAATAACTTTGTGAAATGATAATTTAAGAATTTCACAGGTTATACACCCAGGTGAATATAAAATAAAAAATTAAGAATGGTTAGAAGGAGTTTTAGCTACAACTGTCTTTTAAAAACCTATTCTAAACTCCCATTTTCAAAACAGGAATACTTGGAATAAATGTACTCTGACACAACTCTAGTTCAGTCTCTTCATTCCTAGGGGTCTTTTCTTTGATAGTCATAAAAATTTTACCTCAATTTGTGTGAGTTTTTAATTAATATTATTCAACAAGGAGCTGTTTGGTGACTTATTTATAGTCAATGGTAATTACCTATATTAGATGTGTACAACTCAGTGGTTAGACAATCATATACTTTATATAGTGTTTCCAGTAACCACCTGGCACCATACAGTTATCACATTATTGACTATATTTCCTATGCTTTCCTTTACATCCCTGTGGCTGGTCTATAGCTAACGAATTTGTACTTCTTAATCTCTTCACCTCTTTCTCCCAGTCCCCCCAAATTCCTCTCCTCTGGCATCCACCAGTCCAGTCTGCTCTATGTCTATGGGTCTATTTCAATTGTGTTTGTTCATTTATTTTGTTCTTTACATTTCACATATAAGTGAAATGAGTATCTTTTCTGTGTTTCTAGGAATTCATATACTTCTGTCAAAATCATGGTGATGAGGCATCATTCAGAATAGATTCAGAAATTATTTTCCTCACTGCACAGTCCATTTAACCAGTGCCATCCTGAAACCCTACATTGCTGCAGCAGCAGAGTCTGGCACTTTTTCCATATGGAACCAGAGAGAAAATATTTCAGTTCAGGCTTTGTGGGCCCTATGATCTTGGCCACAACTACTCAGCTCTGCTAGTGTAGCAGCAGAGCAGACACGGACAACAGGTAAACAACCCGGTGTGGCTGTTTTCCAATAAAAATGTACACAAACAAGCTTTTTGCCAGTGTGCCCAAAATTGCTGACTCCTGGTCTAGACCAAAACGAAGTACCAGTCCAAAGAGACCTACCCCTCCCCCAATAGCACCTTCCCCGGATGGCAGAGGGATATATAAAATGTTTGTATTTAAAATAATCTGTTAAACTACCTTTTAAGAAAAACTTGACAAAGTACTAATGTCAAAAAGTACTTGGGTCACTTAAAATGTGAATAATCCAGCCACGATTAAAATTCATGTTATGCATAATCTTACACCTGAGAATAGGGTTTCTGAGAATCAGCATTTTTGACATACTGAGTTCTCTGCAGTGGAGGGCTGTCCTCACAGAGCACCCCTGGCCTCTATCTATTAGCTGCCAATAGTATCACAGCAGTTGTAACCATCACAAATGTCTCCAGACACTCTCAAATGACCCAAGAGGCAAAAATCAAACTCAGTTGAGAACCAACAACCTAGAACATTGACTATGCTTTATTTTTAAGGTCTATATTTTTTATGTTTATAATCATAGAGTTACACAGCTTTTTCATTTAACATGTTAAGGGCCAAGCCTGTTTTGTCTTCCTTTCCGTTTAGCCCGCGATACCTGATTTCACCGATATGCTGGCAGCATCAGTGACTGACATGGCACTTAACGTGTTAATATCAGTTCCAATATTGTATATGTTACAATACAATGTCTATTTTACATGCCCACCTATCAGAAAAGTTATATAATATGGTATTATAAAATCACTAGAGGCCTGGGGCACAAGATTTGTGCACTCGGTGGGAGAAATGGGGGGGAGGTCCCTCTCGCAGTCAGTGAGCCCGGCTTTTGGCTGAGGGAGCCCACTGACCACCAGGGAGCAGCTCCTGAGTTGAGCATCTGCCCCCTGGTGGTCAGTGCACATCATAGTTACCAGTCGTTCTGCTGTTTGGTCAATTTGCATATTAGCCTTTTATTATATAGAATAACTTTCTCATTTGTTACTAGACTTCTATGTTGTTTAAAATATAGCTTTAAAAAAAATCTGCAATTACTTCCTTAGGACATATGCCTCAAATTAAAATATTCACTTATGAATTCACTGTGCCAGGGTGTATTTTAATGACTGTTGATATATAATTCTAATTTAGAGCACCCTTAAAAAAAAAAGGGTGGCAATTCACATACCACTAGCCATTTGACTTTCAGTCTCTCTTTTTCCTCACTAGCTCATTTCTTAGGCAAAAATATGCCAAGTTCTCTCATTCTGTCCAACTACAACTGAGGCTAATTCTACTTGTACATGTCTTATATAATAAAAGTGTAATATGCAAATCGACCAAACGGCCGAACAGCGGGATGACCATCCGGGACCATGCTGTGACACCCACTGGCACCAGGCCAGCCACGGCGGGAGCAATATGATTGCTCGGGAGCCCGGCCATTGCCCCATGACCACCCCGCAGAGGGAGGCCCAGGTTACTGGCTGGTGGGGTGATCAATTGGGGGGCTCCACGATCGCCCCAAAGAAGGAGGCCCAGGCCACCAGCCAGCGGGCTGCGGTGGGTGTGTGATGCCTCCCTCTGTGAGGGAAGCCCCAGTCCCTGTGGCCAGAGGGAAGTCTGGGTCCTGGGTGCCAAAGGGAAGTGATGCTGACAGCCGGGGGAAGGAAGGCCTACCCTTGCACGAATTTCGTGCAAAGTCATACTTTATTTTTCACAATAGTAAAATCACGATTTTATTCAAAGAGACAAATTACAAAATTATGTTTTAAAAGACAGGCAAAACATCCTGAAGCAAATCTATTCTAAGCAATGCCCACCTGGTACTGTGTGTTTTTTTTTCACATTTAAAAGTTTTGCATTTAAAGTTTAAGATAGCTTAGAGAACTTTGATATAATATGGCTACAAGTAACCCACTCATATCATGTCACTGAGCTTCTGGGATGATTTTAATACCTGGCTTACTTTTCTTGTATTTACACTGCTATTATATTCACTAACATTCTTTGTAAATCATGAATAAGTGATTGAGAGCTCACACCAGGGAGGGATGTGCTATGAGGGAAAGTTTGCCTTCTCTTAAATCAGGGGTGGGGAACATTGTTACTGCCAAAGGTCATTTGGATATTGACATCATTCACGGGCCACACACAATTATCAACTTAAAAATTAGCCTGCTATATTTGGTCAGACATTTAATTAACTCACCCCTAATGCCTTTGCTGGGCCAGACCAAATGACTTCTCAGGCCTTATGTGGCCTGAGGGCTGGACATTCCCCACCCCTGTCCTAAATAATCAAAAGTAAAAAGAACAAGAATCTGGCCCAAATATGACTAAGAGCAAATGTATAATGAGCCCTGTTGTATTACAGAATTTCAAAAGTTTAAGAACAGAATTACAAGTAATTCATAATCTTCAATGCTTACATTTTTCTTTTTTTACCCAAATTTAATCGGATTTTAGCAACTTTGGGATAGAGGCCAGCACAGATGACCGCTTTAATTATCTTCTCATTATCTATTAGGGGTGGGAAGGTAGAAAAAAAAGTGTAAAATACTGATACAATGGAAAATAGCAGCAAGTTATTTACACTGTTTTCTGCTTTACCTGAATTTATATTGGATTTTGGATCTTTAGGACTTCTACTGCTTACAAATCCAGCTCCAAGAAGATGTTCAGCAAACTGCCCTTTCATGTTATGCAGCATCTATAGAACAAGTAAACAGAACTAGAAAACCTTTCTCAGATTAACAGGGGGTTATAAAACATAAATAAATTTAGCTATAAGCTTTCCCTGCTCTATAAAATACTGCAAAATGTAGTGTTTTAGAGCAGGAATTGGTAAACTACATTATATAAACCTGTTTTTTGTCAATAGAACACACCCATTCATCTACATATTATCAATGGTTGCTCTGCACTATGATAGCAGAGGTATGTGGTTGCAAAGGAGACCATATGGCTTGTAAGCCTACAATAGTTATAATCTGATCTTTTACAGAAAAGATTTGCGTATTGTAGGATATAAATACTGATATTTAAGGATTACGCCATTTTGCAAAAAGACTAATATAGTCTTCAAAATTGTTCACCCCATAATTTGAAAGAAATACAGAAAAGCATATTTCCAACATCCATCCATATTTCCATTGAGAATTAACTACTGTTGCTTATTGGCACAAAAACTTAAGGTCTTTTTCTTTAAGAAAAATCATTATTTGGGTAAAAATGATGCATTGCTCATTATAAAACATTCAAGTAAAATTGAAAAGTAGAAATAAAGAAAATTCCCTAAACTCAATACTGTCAGAAAGATCATTCATTAAGAAATAATATTGCAGGACATTTATGTATACACTGACAGAAGAATTAGACAAAAAAACTATCCTAACAATGGGATAACAGATTAGAAGCTGTTTTATAAAAGTATTAAAATTAATTCTAGCTCCATTTTTTAAAAGTTAAATAGAAATGAAACTGGACTAGATGAATTTTACAATTTCATAATCATGAGATATTTCATAAGGTATCCTTGCAAGCCTAAAATAAGAGACTATAAAACATAAACTTGGTCATATTTAAGTGTATCTTCCTTTTATGAACTGTGTGACTTTAGTTTTCCAACTGAATTTCTCTTATAACTGACTGGGTTACCTCCTGAGTTTTATTATCATTATTTTTTATTGTTCTGGATAATGATCTTTACATTCTTATTTTGAACTAGTATATTTACATAATTTCAGTGTACATCACCAGCTGATTTAGTGTGCATTCTTCATTACTGAATTCGTTTTGATTCATCCCTCAAAAGGCAGCATTTCATTTTCAATGAATTTTTCAAGGACAGCTCAAGTTCATGGGTGCAGTACTTCAAGTGCTTTCTTGAATGTCTATCTTTTGTCTTCAGATTTTAATATCTTGACTGAATACAATATTCTCAAATAACACTTGGGTTTAGTCAACTTTCCATACTTATGGTTCATTATTTTTTTCCAGGAAAACGTTCTTACACATTTCTCAAATACATACTTCATCACACTTGAATTGTCTATGTATAGACATCTATTATTTTCAGGATGGATTAGTCCTGTCTTCCTGTAAGTTTTTTACTTATTAGTTTAATGTTTTCCTTTTGCAGCTGCATTTACAAAGTGTGATGATCTCAAGCCTTTCTTCTATGGCAATACTTTGCTTTAAAGGAATGTATATTTTGTTTATTGTAATTCTTTTGGTCTTTAATTTTTCTGCTTAGCCCGGCAGTCTTTTCATTCTATGGTTTCCTTTCTTATTTTTGCTTTATTGAATTCACATTCTTAACCCTTTTCGGTCCAACGTCCAGGCTGACTCGACAGACCAGGCGCTAGGAGCAGGTACAACGTGGAGCTGAGGTCGACACCGCAAACCGCTGCGATTATATGCATTGTCAGTGTAAGGTGCTGGGTTGATTATATGCATTGTCAGTGTAAGGTGCTGGGTTGCATGTGGGGAAATGTTTCAAAAGAGAACATACTTAATAAATTAACCAGTGAATTTTTGGTTTAAACTTTAAAGTAAGAACATTAAAAAGTGAATTTTTGGTTCCTGTCAATTAATTTGGACCAGGCTGTTTGAATTCCAAAAATAAAATTGGACCACAAAGGGTATTAAACTGCCCCACATTAGGAAACAGTTGTAAGTAAGGCTATAGCCATGATCCTTCTTTTTATTTTGTTGATGCCTTGGCAGTTTTGATTAAATATGCTAGATTCCTGATTCTTTTACCCACTTATAGAATTGTTAAATGTCCAGTCCAGGGTTCGTGCCACACAGCTGAAGTGTATACGTGATGGGGAAAGGTGAGGACATTCCTATTCTTACTGTTTTGAGATCACTTCTCCCTTACAGAGCATCTGCCCTATGTATTGTTAACTTTCTTCTGTTTCACAAATGCCTACTGGCCAGTGTTTTCTCACTACACTCAATCAGTTAAAGATAAAGATACCTACCTAAAAGTTAAAGATACCCTGTTTGATATTAAAAATAGGTTTTAGGAGTATTAGTGAAAATTTTCAGGCGGAACCATCAAAATGTCAACTAGAGGGTGGGTACAGGAACAGTAACCGAGCTTTACTGTGTTTTCTTGCTATACTTTAGATTCTTGTAGCTTTCCTTAGCCATCAGTTGTTTATTGTATTATACATCTTTTATTATTTTGTTGCAGTTGCTTTAATAAAGATTTTTATAATGACTCAATTTCATAAGACAAATTCACACAATTAACCTTTTGCTACCAATCTAACTGTACAAAATGCATTCATATATTCCCTCTCTAATATAAATGAGAATCACTTCAAAACATTCACCATTACCTGCAGCGTGTTTGAAGACAGAAAATATTCCCAGCAATAATCTTTTTCATATCTGAAACCACGTCGTCTAGCTTCTTCCCAGCCCTACGATGCAAAGAAATAAAGAAAACTATATCATTCCCCAAAGCAAAGATTGCCTACTTGTCTGTCTTTATTTGGGTAATAATCTTCTATTGATGTTCTCTCTGTAAAAAGGTCAAAGAATTTTGAAATTTATAAACTAAAGAAAAACTAAAACCTCCCCATGATCCTAATTGTTAAGAGATAACTGCCACTGAATTTCCAGACCTTTCTACAAATAAGTTATCTAGTAATATATTGTGCATTTTATATAAACTGGCATCATACTGCACATAATGAAGTTAACAAAATGAGCACTATTCAACAAACTTCAATGCTATCAAATATTTTTCAACTTCACAAACATTAAATTATTTTTTAGCTAGAGCAGGAAAGACGGGGAAAAAGGGAATACTGAATGAGCTCAAAGGCGAAAAAAAAAAAAAATCCCATGCTATGCAGTACAAAACTGACTCTAGAAGTTGCTGTCTCTAGATACCATATAACATTTAAATTTTTGAAAAGATGGGTGATAAATGTTTATCTTCAGCTAAGCCTGGCATCTGGAAGCAGAAAATGTCTATATTCTGAATAATGTACATGATTAAGATATTCTATCAAAATGTTAAATCAGAACATAGGTTTAATTTATTAATGATCAGAGAGAGACTTGTCATAAATGTCAATAAGATAGATACAAGTGAATATCAAATAAAATTTTAAAATAAATTATTCACTTGTTCAATTGTGATCAAAACAGGAATATACACTGAAAAATGAGGTTAAATTTTTTCAAATGTTCACCTAATTTTAAACATTCTCACTTAGCAATTTATTCCTAATACCTATGATGATATAGGTTTTAAAAAGTTAAATATTATCAGCTTTTCTCTTGAATAAACTGTCACAAGTTATTTATTTTTTTTACCTCAAATGCATTCACAACCGTCAGGTGGTCACTTTTAGAATCCTTTGCCAATTCCTTTCTTCTTGCATCTGCGACCTTTTCTTTCCCCTTAAAAAAATACAGAGGAAGGCAATTTAAATGGCTCTGACAGTATATAATAGGGCACAGTAATAAAAAGCGAGTGAAAAATTGTACCTAAGCAACAACTATTACGTTTGCATAAAAATGCCGAGCCTTTCCGTTGTATCTTTCTTACCAATGGAATGACAAAGGGATCCTTGAAGCTGAGACTAGCAGCAATGGTGAGGACTGGGTCTAAGCAACAGAACAGAGCTCCGAAAAGAATCATTTTTCCAATGTGTGGCTCAACTGGTAATCGTGCTAAGTGGACTCCAAGAGGTGTCAATTCTTCTTGTTTATCCAAAGCATTCTGTAAGGCAAGGGTTTATGTTTAAAACAGACACTCTAAAGCATCACATTCAAACCTGATTTTAGTTTGCTTAGAAAAAAAGAGGCCACTCTTACATGGGAATGCTGTAATTCACAGTCAAGTTTTTTAAAAACCTGGGCTCCAGACCCCACTGTTGACAAGAATTTGCTGGCCTTTTCAAGATTTTGTTGTCTGCAAATGATGACATCAAGATCGGCTCTTAAATTCAGTTGGGGAAGGGGATGTCACCCTGCTCAGGCTTTAAATGTTGCTGTCCTTTGGTCGTCCATCTCTACCCTAACTAATAAGATGATATAAGCACCACCTAGCTCTCCAGCTGTATTCTATTAGATAAAAGCTTGAAGGGGAGAGGGGTCACTAGTAAAACCGTACTACTTCCTAAAATGCTAGTAACCTCACTAAATCTAACCTACTTTCCAACAAAGACAGTTAGATAATATACAATGCTTGTTCATTTAAACAACTTATTACTCACATTAAAAGCTATTGCAATGTTCTAATATGGGCGAAAGTCTCAAAACATTCTGCACGGATGGCTGAAATAAAACTGAAGTATGTAAAGTATACTTGGGCATCCTCTAACTCAGCACCAATGAACAGAACTTGTAGCGATAACAGAAATGTTCTATTACTGTGCATTGAATACATGAGGCTACTCATGGCTACTGTAATGGACAGCACGGCTCTAACTTCGTTCTCTCCATTCTGGGCACTAAGTCACAGTCCCTTTCTCATCGCTGTAGGCACTACCTCACAGCTAGTTCTGTGCTTCTCAACATGATCTTGCACAGATGGCTACCAAGTAAGCAGTCACTTGACTAAGATACTGAAACTTAGTTTCTCAAAATACTGACTTCATTAAAAAAAAATTTTTAAGGGGAAAAAACGGTAAGAATAAAATGACAGGTAGGGAAACATGCTATTTTGGAGTAAACCCACTTGTTAGTATTTCTTCAAAAATACAAGAGTTGCCTTAATAAAATGTCCATACTGTCAATAAGTTACTTAGATTTGACAAAAACTCTAAAAATACTACAGTAATCAGAAAAAGTAAAATAAAACAACTAAACTCATTTCAAGAATACAAACAGAGACCAAGAATTCAAAGATTTCAAAACTGTATGGAATTTTAAATCAAGCCTACAATGAAAAAAAATTGTGTGGAAAGGACCCAGTATTAGAAAACATCATAAAGGTATCATTTTTTAACTTTCCAACTCTTATTTCATACACTCAGGTGAATAGTCAACTAGTGTATAAAACTGGCACTGCACATTCACCAGTCTGCTCTGCAGTAATGAGAGTAAATATATAATTAGCTGGCTGACATGCTCTTAACATTCTACATCTAAGTTACAATTAAAAAGAAAAATCAGGTTTACCAGTTCCATCAGGTGTTTTATGGAGAGTGACACTGCTTCATTTGACGGTGGGTCCATTAACCTACTCAGAAAATGAGCAATTCCACCTAGCCTTAAGATCTAGGGGAAGACAAATATAATTAAACATGTATCATATATTGACATAACAGTTTAGTCCTGCCTGTGTCACACATTCAAGAAGAGTAGCAAACCTAAACATTATTTTCAAGTTAGTGTTTTTACTAGAGTAAGTTAAAATTTCATTTGTGATTCCATAAAAACATGTTTAAAGGCTAACATGCTACTTTCTATCATCCACCAACTCTTATTAATGAGAAAAGTAGTTGGTTAAAATCTCAACTAACAAGTTGATTACCAATTAACAAGTTGATTACCTTATTTTCAAAATAAGGATAACTTTATGAAAATATGTAAAATACTGGAAAAAGGGGTAAGTGATTTATAAAGAGGAATAAAAATCTTAAGATGGAGTAACAGTAGCTAATATTTACTGAACACTTAACTATGTGCCATTAAGAGTTATGAGAATTGAAGTTATTTATCCAATGTAACAAAACTGGCTTGTCAGAGGGGTGGTGAGATTCAAACACAGGTTCTTTGGCTCCAGAGCAGTAAATGATAAAAAACTTTTAAATAAGCATCTGAAGGAAGTTTATAAGCATAGTTTACTAACACACACAGGAAACAAACGCGTGATAAAAATTAGAACCCCACCCCCTTTTAGCTTTTGAACCACCCACCTAATTTACCTTTATTTGTAAACAAAGTTCTTCCAAAGGAGTTCTCAAGATTTCTGGCAGTTGATAGTCATCTAGAAGGCTTGCTCTAAGACTATTATACAGATGATAGCAATGACCAGGCTGAACTCTTAAAAAAAAGGGGGGGGGGGCGGGGAAGCAGGGAAGAAGCATTTATCAGTGATATTTTAGAACTCCAGAGAAAAGAACAGGCAGAAAACGTAGCCAATTACCTATTTCTTACAAGCCACACCATAACTAATTATTATTTCACTTTTACTTATCATATATCAGTGTCCCGGTACACGGATTCGTGCACATTGAAAGGAAATTAATTAGAATATTTTAATATCACTATTTGTCCTTTCTCTATAATAGAAGCGTCAACCAAATTCACAATTGACAATGACAGATCGAAACACACGCGTGCCATTGATGCCAGTGAGAGCTTTATATGTATTGTGCATGTGCGAGTCAACTTAGCCTTTTATATAGAGATAAACTTGATTAGACCTGCTTTCTGATTTAGCTAAACTTTTTCCAGCCTAGTGAGGCACCCCAACTTCTCTTTCAGGTAATTGTCAGCAACAGAGCAGTAAATATCAACACAAAGCAGATTATTATTGTAGATCACTCAGGGAGAACAAAGGGTAAAATATTTAACTGTAGCAGTGTTTGACCGTATTCTGCGCAGTGAGAAAACCTGAAGTGGTTTTCAAGTTTACCATTTTTTAATTCTTTTCCGTTGGATCAAGTTTCTAAACTTTCTGAATCTCCGTTGTCTTGCTAATAAAAAAAAAAAGGACTCTACTGAGTCTCCTATCTACCTACTCCAGGACTTCTGTAAGGATCAAATGAGATGAGGCATGGGAAAATGCTCCACAAACATTTGGTTGAACTGTAAATTGTTTGCACATGACTATAAAGCAAGTCAGGTTCCTGGGCTGAAGAAACTCCAAGGAGGCTAGTCCCTAGGGCAGGGGTCCTCAAACTTTTTAAACAGGGGGCCAGTTCACTGTCCCTCAGACCGTTGGAGGGCCGGACTATAGTTTTAAAAAAAACTATGAACAAATTCCTATGCACACTGCACATATCTTATTTTGAAGTAAAAAAACAAAATGGGAATACAATATTTGTATTTGCATGTGGCCCGCTGGCCGTAGTTTGAGGACCTCTGCCCTAGGGAGAGGAAGCCGGGAGTTGCTACATGACATCATTACCCAGTGCCCACAGTGACCGTTTCCAGGCTGGGCTGTGGGTCACATTTTGCGCCAGCAGCGTTGCCTGCGATTTGGTGGGCTGTCGCTCTGGAGTGGTGGCGGGGCCTGTGTCCCACTTCGGGGAAGCCGAGTGTTGGTTTGTCGGTGCCAGATTCTTGGTGCCCTTTATTTTTAAATGGCCAGTGCACATCAAGGCAGCTCCTGCGTTAAGCGTCTGCCCCCTGATGGTCAGTGTGCGTCATAGCTACTGGTCGAAGGGAAGGACACTTAGCCATACACACACATACATACACACACACACACACACACACACACTCTAGTGGCCCAGTGCACGAAAGTCATGCACATTAAAAGGGAATTAGAGGAAATATTTTAATATTGCTATTTGCCCTTTTCCTATAATAGAAGTGTCACAGATGAAAGAAAATTAGTAAAATGTATATGAAAATCTTCCTCCTGTCAGAGTCTGGGGCGAGTCAAGTTCCCCCCCACCTATGTGCGTTTCGAAATTGCACAAGACCCAGACATGGCCAGCCCCACCCCCGTCAAGCGAGGTGGGGGGCACAGCCTCAGGTCCCCCGGCCCGGCGCTGGGGTGGGGGTGGGGGCGCGCGGCCTCAGGTCCCCCAGCCCTGGCCGGCGCGAGGGTGTGACGACCATTTGCATATTAGCTCTTTTTTATATAGGAGAGATATAGATTCCTTCTCCCAATGTGTTTTCAATAGCCTTAAATCCAATATCCCTATGTCCTAGATCTAAGAAATAGAAGACTCTCTTCTCCCACCAATAATTTGGTTCCCTATTTCTATCTTACAGAATCCACACTGCTATGCTCAATAACAGCAGTCTATTTAGATTAATCTCTATATGCCTTGTGAACATTTTATGTAACACATCCTGACATTATATTAACTTGTCTATATTATTTAAAATGCTTTTAGGTATGTGCTAATTAGTTGAGCTCTCAAAAGAATGTTGGAAACTTCATTATTTTAAATCTAGTGACATGAATGATATTATTCACTGGACAATATTAGGGACAGATAATGAAGAGGTGAGAATATTCATTTCATGTATTTTCAAACAAAACAAATTTTCTATCAACTCTTGCTGCTATTGGAGAAGGTGGTCCTTTTCCTATAGGAATAAAAATAAATTCTAAAAATTGTAGCTATTTCTATCACAAGTTTACAAAAACTTCATCTATTATATAACACTAGAGGCCTGGTGCATGAAATTTGTGCACAGGTAGGGTCCCTAGGCCTGGCCAGTGATCAGGGCCGATCTGTGGGGCAACCAGTGGGGCGACTGGGGGGGCCTCCCCGCTGGCACCCACCTTGGCTGACCTGGGGCCTGTGGGCTGGGGGCAGCTCCTGCGTTGAGCGTCTGCACCCTGGTGGTCAGTGCACATCATAGCGATCGGTCATTCCGCTGTTTGGTTGATTTGCATATTAGGCTTTTATTATATAGGATGTGCTCAAAAACTAACGGTGCTTCCACCTAGGACCACATAATATATTTTGCTCTGACCTTTAAATTAATTATCAAGCTAATCAGGTTTTGCTAAAGGAATTTACATCTATGGAGCCTACAAGGGACTATTTTCCATTTCAATTAAAACATTGTAGCCCTAGCCGATTTGGCTCAGTGGATAAAGCGTCGACCTGCAGACTAAAGGGTCCCAGATTCGATTCCGGTCAAGGGCACATGCCTGGGTTTCGGGCTCGATCCTCAGTGGGGACCATGCAGGAGGCAGCTGATCAATGATTCTCTCTCATTATTGATGTTTCTATCTCTCTCTTCCTCTTCCTTCCTCTCTGACGTTAATAAAATATATAAAAACGAAAAACAACAACAACAAAAAACCACATTGTAATTCCACAGTTAATCTACACTAGGAGAGTGGAGATGAAGAGTTAGATAAAAATGTAACATACTTCATTTATTTTATTTCCTGGTTCAAACCTAAGGCCTAGTGTATGTGCTATTCTTAAAAGTGTGACAAAGCCCATTCCCTACAATGAATACTTTTTAAATCAGCACCCAGTGGTGATAGGTCTGCATGGAAAAACCCCAGTCTTGCTGGGTCCCCAATCAAGTTATCCCCTAATAAGTGATTAGAAGGGTACATTACTTACACTAAACCATGACTTTGCATAATCTAATAAACTACCTGGAAATCAAGTTTTACTGGGACAATCTGCAAGTATGTCAGAGCTTTATAGATATATTACAAACTTAAAAAAATGGTCTGTAATTTTTCTTTCAACTTTAATTTCCTTACTTAAGCCAATACCTGAACACTAAAGGGAATCTTCTCTACAACTCAATAGGATTCTACACTCACATGAATAAAAGTGTAAAAAGGCTGTGGAAAAAGGCATGAAAATCAAGAGTAAGTACAATTATTTGTGTGAATGGCAAATCATTCACCTATCATTAAGACATACTTTTACTTATACTACTATTTATGTCAATGGGAGAAAGGTCCTTTCCTTGTGTGTTCGTTGGTAACTAATGGTGCAGAACCAGGAGGCCAGACTGAGGGACCAGACTGCCTGGATTCAAGTCCTGCCTCTGCCATCTTACAAAGTTGTGTGACTTTAAGCAGATTCTTTAACTTCTTTGTACCTTAATTTCCTTACCCTTGAAATAGAGATAATAACCTACCTCATGGCACTGTGCTGAGAATTAAGTTAACATAGTAAGTGATTAGGACATGACCTGACATTCAAATAGTATTAGTAGTTACCATTAGTAATATACACTTTTAAAAAGAAATAAAATTATAGGTAATATAACTAATAAGAATAAACAACATTAATTTTAATTAACTGTATTGAGAATAAGAGGTAGAAAAATCATAAAAAAGAATTCCAAAGAAATTATAATTAAAATTTTTCCATTTAAAAATGTGCTACAGTGTTTTAAAAAATATGAAGAATAACTCTCCTAATAAATATTTTTAAGTCTTAGGAACATATTTTGCTACATAACATTTTTGTTTGTTTTTAAAGGCTTCAGACAAAGTCCCATCTTACCTTCCAGCTCGACCTTTCCTTTGCTTGGCATTAGCTTTACTAACCCACTCAGCAGACATAGTACTGATGTTGTTCTGTGTGTCAAAGTGTGTTTCCTTTATTTTTCCTCCATCTATCACATAAACTACATCATCTATGGTAATGCTGTTAGGAAAATAGATATATAAAATATTAACACATAAAAAGCACATTAATCTATGTCAGGTCTACAGACAGAGATTTTAGAACATTTCTAATGGATCACATTGATTGTAGCAGTTCAGGATTTTCACCACTCTTCCCACACTTACCAACGTTATGGGATCAAGCACCTCATTGTATGCATCCTCAGCACCTGCAGTGGCAGTGTCCTGCCAATTCTGCAGATCCCATGCTAGATTCTTACTTGCCCACAGACAAACTTCATAGCTTGCCTGATGACTTTAGTTCCTAGCTTTTGTGACCCCTCACCCCTTCCCAGTGCCCTGGTTTAATATCAGCTTTCACAGAACAACTTTGGTGCTGTACCGGTATATTAGTACCCTCAAGACAATACATTTTAAAGGCTGTATATAATTGCCAAATTACCAAACAATTCCATCCCCAATCAACAAAAGGCAAATAAAAAAACACTGACATCAGCTCCCATGGTTTTTAGAAAGGCTTTGAAAACAAAAACAAACAAACAAACAAAAAAAACCCCAAAAAAACCCACACACCCATACAACACTTAAAAGGCCGTTTCTGAAGAAGACGAAAAAATTAGTATAGGTTAAAACAAACAAACAAACACTAAACAAACCTATGCCACTACCATGATTAAAACACTTATTTTTAAGATTACAAATATTTTGTAGAGAAAAAAGATTAAGGTATGTTAATAATTTATGGGGCTTAAAACAAATATAATCACAAGCAGTTGATATTTAAAACAATATTTACCTAGTCTCTGCAATGTTGGTAGCAATTACTATTTTCCGAACACCAGGAGGGGTTCTTTTAAACACCTGTAAGAAAAATTACATCAAAACCCCAAAAGTACACAAATTTCTGATACATCACTCTTGCAATTAGAGAAATTACTTCAGATACTATTCATTTTTAGCACTGTTTATCTGTTGACATATGTATGAATCTGATATTTATAGTTGTATTTATAAGGTATATATCATTTTCAATACCATAAAACTCCCTTTAGGTATACCAAATTAAAACCTCCCACAGATGTCAGAACCTTATCACAAACAAGATTTTAAAAGAAATACAATAATTTACATAATTTTTTTAAACAAAAACTGGTTAAACATCGTATTGTGTAGTCAAGCTTTTAAGGGAGAGAGAAAAATTTAGTTTAAGGATAAGAATTATGAATTACCCAAAAATATATGGGTAATGACAACAAATAACCAAGCAGATGCCCAACTCATCAGAATAAATGTTAGCTGGTGTACCTTCTTAAACTAGCTTTTGAGATTAGACTGGATTAAAACAAAAATCCTCTTCAAATGCTGAATCCTACCAACAATGCAGCATCGACAAAGCTACCAAGTTGATGAAAAGACATGCAGCCAAGTCCCACTTGGCTATAAAGCAACAAAATGCACAAACTTATCCCTACATGTATAAAAGTGGTAATAGAGAAAATGCTGTTTCCAAGTCTATCACATATTCTCTAGCAAAGGAATAAAAAATTGACGATTAGGGTGACAGAGATGGAAGTGCCTCCACATCGAAAACTCTGCTAAGTCTTTGGAATCAAGAGTTCTCTCTCTTTCCTCTTCTCTTCTTTATCTAGCAGCACTCTGCAACTAATTCAGCTGGCTGAGCCTTATTCAGGACTGGTACCAGCAGAAAGGATATTAAAATAATCTCAGTTTTTAAAAAAAGAAGCCTTTATATTTTCTTAGAGAGAGAGGAAAAACTAGAAGGGACCCACCAGGGCCTGCAAACACTGCAATCCAGAAAATTATCTTGCCTTTGAGAATGCAGAGTTCATTCTAATCAGAGTAATCTCTGAATCTGACTAAGCCAAAATATTGAAAACAATAATAAAAACCAAAATAATACATTACTGACAAAACAGGAAATCTCACACCTACAAATATATATACTAATGCTGTTATATCAAAATTTCAAATATAAAGATATTTAATTTCTGGGTTGATTTATATTTATGAATACTCACATACCTTTTTCCTTTTATTCATAAAAGCCAAACAAGTTATTGGTGAAACCAATCTTTAAATTTTTCCCTAATGTTGGTTGACACAACTAATTTGATTTGTGGATTACCCTCTATAATTCATGTTTTTGTAAAATTATCTCCTGAAGACTCATTTGCAAAGGTTCCCAAAGAAGTATTGTTATATGGATTACTATTTGAAAATGTCTTAAAAATAAAATATAAAACAAAACGCACAATAAGCAGTCTTTTAAGATTGCCTCTGTTTGAAAGATAGTGAATAAATTTAACATACCTGTGTCTGGTTAACTGTAGGCATCAGTGAATGTAAAGGTATAATAAGAAACCTGTCTGAAAATTAAAAAGAAAATTAATTTTTCTTTTTAGAAAATTAAATTTTAAGATAGTTGCAGAAAAGCTCCATCAGACATATATAGAACATAATTTTAAGAAATTACATTCATACGTTTTTTTTAAGTTTCAAAATGAAATAGCTCAAGCTCATTCATGATTATTAGCTAATAGAAAGTTTGTTGCAGTATAGTGAGGGGAAGGAGGGTGACTGTTAAGGAAACAAATTTCACATTTAGCTGTGGTTACAAAAAAATGCAAACTGACTTAAATCTCTAACAACAGTACCCAAATGAATCAAGATAGCTATATTTCTACCAGAAAAGAACTGGTGTTATTTGAAAGAGAGACTGTCTGTGACCCTTCTGAACTTAAAAAATAATAAAATGCTGTCAAGCAAATGGTTGCTAAAAAAGTGCTCTAAAATTACTTTGGTGACATGAAATAAAGTTCATTAATTCAATCAAAATTCAAACCAAAAATACTTAACTCAAATTGAATTAAGCCTTCAAACATACTTCCTGTTTTTAGAAAAATCAGGTCAGAAACAATCAAATGAAATGATAACATGAAGATTCAGACAAATCAGAGTTGATCTAGTCTTTTCCATAAGTCATCAACATGAAAGAAGTAAGGAAAGAATGAGAGTGATGTTCTAGAACTAGAGTCAAAGATTTATCTGGTTTGACTTTTTCTATAATTTGAACAAGCTAACCTTGAAAGACATTACAGGGGCAAAACAGGAAAACCTGATTATAGACTGGTTTATTAAATGATGTTAATGATTAGGTATGATAGTGGCATTGAGGTTATTATAAGGAATTGTCTTTATTTTTGAGAGATGCATGCTTATATATTTAGAGATAACTTATGATAGCTACAATTTACTTTAAAAAGGGAAAAAATTAGACCATGAAAATTATTGTTGCATTGAAGTCATTTGTATATGGTATTCATTATATGATTTTTCTAATTTTCTATAAGTTTAAAATGTTTCATTACAAAGTAAAAAAAAAAAGAGCAGTCAGGGATGATGAAAGTAATAACAATTTTGCTGAAGACAATATAATTGGGATAAAAATAATTTATATAGCTGATATCACACACCAAAGTAGTCAACAGAAACAAAATTTCTTATGACAAGAATGAGAATGTTGATAAGCATTTGATAAATTGAATTTCAAGATTTACTTTTCAGTCAGTATGGAGTACGACCAATTTCTCCCTTTTTTACGACGCAGTATATAACTGATTATTAAGACTAAATTTTAAAAATATGATTTGAGAAAAAAATACTTGCTAAACTTTAAAAAACTTCCTTTCAAAGAAATTGAGCTGGTGGTGAAAGTTTAAATTAATACCTCCATTCTTGAGAATAATTAAGTTAAATTAGAAAATTAATGAAGTCAATTATAGTAATCTAGCATATCACACCCTTTCCCCATTCCCACAGAAATAATATTACATTTGGGCATATATCTTCCCTGCGTTCTTATGATGGGGAAAAAAGAGGCCAAAGTTGGAAAACTCAACCCCCCCCCGGAAAATTCCCATTGTTTTTTAAAAAAATTCAGCGTAGGGTTTAATCGTGCCTAGTCTTCTATATGGAAATGTTACTACTTACAAGAAAAAGTGGCATTTCATCATAGAGAAGTCATGGTAATCAGATAAAAATATTTTTCTAACTTGAGAAGAGTAAATAATTTTAATTATAAAGAATACTTTGGCCGTAACCAGTTTGGCTCAGTGGATAGAGTGTCGGCCTACGGACTGAAAGGTCCCAGGTTCGATTCCGGTCAAGGGCATGTACCTTGGTTGTGGGCACATCCCCAGTAGGGGGTGTGCAGGAGGCAGCTGATCGATGTTTCGCTCTCATCGATGTTCTAGCTCTCTATCTCTCTCCCTTCCTCTCTGTAAAAAATCAATAAAATATATTTAAAAAAAAAAGAATACTTTGAGGGCACTACTACAATAGAATTTAACATAGAATAAAAAATACACCTTTTACTAGTCTAGCCAATACAATTAGAGCAAATATTTTTTAGTTTTATAAAATAAAATGTGTCAAAATTACTTCAAGAGAGTAAAGTTAGAAGTTATATTCACAATTATACATTAAATAGAAGTTGCTTTGTATTTTACTGATTTGAAGTTAAAAATGACACCTGAAGATGCTGTAACTGAATTTTATAGGAGAAAAATGTCCCCCTGCATTTCTCTAAGACAAAAGAGGTGATGTCTCTTAAAATAATACTGTTAAAGAATCAAATCATCTCAGAAAGTTTTAAAACTTCAGGTCACTTTCTTAGATTTGGGGTGAGGAGGCGGCCAGGTATCTGAAGTTTAAATAAGTGCCATGCTGACTGTTGTATAGTCAGAGATGAGAATCAGTGGACTAAGGGATTACATACTCACATGCCAACATTTTCTCTTTAAGGGCTCAATTTATTAGGCAAATTTAGGAGGAGAGGGGAAATGTTCTCACTATAATAACACATAAAGAACTTCACTAAAATACCCACTATCTTCACCTAGAATTTCAGAAAAAAACAACCAAACAAACATAAAATAATCCAACTTTTGAAAAAAACTAATCTGGGCTAAGACCACCAAGTTCTTACAATGACATGGCCTTAGAAGCAATACTTCCTCAAATGAAAGATAAAAACCAGGCTACATGATTCAAGTACCACTCTTGGAACTGCAATAAAATACATTTCAGTAATACCTGATTTAAACATCACTTGTGACATCAAGAGATCATGTAAAGTGCTGATATTGTCCCAGCCTGGTAGAAAGACCAATATTGCACCATCCTGTATGGAAGGGAAATAATCATTACAAATGATCACATAACAAAATACATAAAAAAAATCTGTGCACTTTAGCCTTCATTAAAATTATACTGCCTAAGGAAAATTTTGGTTACTGATTGTAAATAATGAATACAAGCTCACTTTTTAAAAATAGAATTTGTAAACCAGATTTTTCATTTGTTTAGTCTGTTCTTCAAATAGGTCAAATATCTAAATCATTTGGCATTTTGAGATTCTCATTCCTGGTGTCAAAAGCAATTTCTTCTGTAAGTTATTTTTATTTATTTATTTTTAAATATATTTTATTGATTTCAGAGAGGGAGAGGGAAAGAGAGATAGAAACATCAATGAAAGAAAATCATTGATCAGCTGCCTCCTGCATGCCCCCTACTGAGGATCCAGTCCACAACCCAGGCATGTGTCTTGATGGGGATCGAACCCGGAATCATACCCAGGACCCTTCAGTCCACAGGCTGACGCTCTATCCACTGAGCTGAACAAGCACTAGGGCATCTATAAGATATTTTTAAAAAGCATTTACAAGGCTCTGGCCAGCTAGCCCAGTTGGTTGGAGAGTTGTCCTAATGCACCAATGTTGCAGGTTTAATACCTGCTCAGGGCACATACAAGAGTCAACCAATGAATGCATAAATAGGTAGAATAACAAATCAATGTTACTCTCCCTCAAATCAATTTCTTAAAAAAAGCATTTAATTTTTTTTTTTATGGCCTTGATCTAAAAATAAAATTAAGTCACTTGAGGAAAACAAAACTAACCTCTTCTTCCAAAACAATGTAGCGAATAAGGGCAGCAATCAAATTCAGATCAACTTTATCATCATCCATCATTTCTATAACATCTACAGTACTTGCAGAATACCTATCAAAGTTAAATAAAATATCATGAAATACTTGATATAGTTTCCTGAGGTTTAAATTTTTATATAATCTAAAAATTAACTCAACCTTCAAATGAGGGAATGATAGGAGAGAGTTAGTGGGGAAATAACAGTGTTTACAACGTAGTTTTCAGCTGGAAAATGAGATAATAATCTTCTTAAATACGTACAAATTCAAGAAGATAATTCCTGCTTTTTGTTTTAGTCAATTCAGTCACTATGCTCTGACTTCCAAACAGAACAAACTTACCTTTTCCGCAGTTCCCTTACATAATCCGGCCAGCGTTCTTTATAGGTTGCTTCTTTTTCTTCTTTCTCTTGTCTATTTACATGCCCTTGCATGAAACCCCTCTTAAACTGGGATCTGTGTTCTTTTTGTTCTGGAACATATCTAAAATGAAAACATTCTTAAGTAGCTTCACTTTTTAAAAACTCTCTGGTTGTAGCTAATATTCAGCTTATATTTAGGATTTTTAAAAAGATTTTTAAGTAATTTCACTATAATTTCTAATGAACACTAGTTAAATATTCATTTATTTGCAAGTATTCATTAACATAAAATCTGACATTCTGGATGAAAATCATTCTTCTCTATAAAGTATATACAACTCTAGATCATTTTAAGCAATCAAATTTAGAGTAACTTTCACCTTCAATTTTAAGTTTGCTCTAAAAAAAAAGTTAACATTAAGTCCAAAATAACAGTTAATGTTGCCTAGTAGAAGACTCATATTTTACATATAGGTTTTCAAACCTGAGTACATATAAGAATCCCCTAGAGAGTTTGTAAACTGTAAATTCTGAAATCCTATACCTTACGATTTGGATTAAAGTCTGGTTGGTTGGGGTCAGCTAACTCAGGAATTTTAATTAGTGCCTCAGGAGATTCAGATAGTGTATCTATAAATGTACAGACACATGCATGAGAACTATTTATTCTGCTCAGGCTCACAGATACAGCTAATGGCAGAGCCAAATCAGCATTCAAATCTCATCTGTCCAGCATTATGCTCTGACTCCACCATGCTGCAGTGACTGCTATAAGCAGGGCACATTTGCCCCAGAATCCCAACTATTTACTCTAAGTGGGTTCTGAGAGCATGAAGGTGGAGAAAGACAAAGAAAAATGAACTAAACTTTTAACCCCAAATCCCCTCAGAGTTTGCCTAGGGAACAGCTTCCAGATAGAATGGGAGGTTTGGAGCACTGGTTTTGTGAGTCAGACAAATTATGGAAATGATGTCCTTGCTCTGACATTGACTAGCTGTGTGACTTTAAATAAGGTTTAACTTTCAGGTCTCTAGTTTTCTTATTTTAAGAGATTAATACTTTGATAACAGTATTGGCATAAGAATAAGAGCAAAAAGTGATAAAGTAAAGCACAGTGCCTGACACATAGCAGACACCCCAAAAGTGTTAATCCCCTTCCCTATGCAGTACCTGTGACCCAGGATCCCCCTAAGTCTTCCATACATATAGAGGCACCAACTTGAAGTAGGGCAACCTGAGACAGAGATTAGTCCTAGTCAGCAGGATGGACCCACGGTTGGTTCCCGTCCCAGCAATTCCAACAACAGAGGTAACCTTCAACCCCACCCCAAGGGCCCAATCACAACCCTCCATCTCACGTCACCTTACTTTCTTCCCTCCTGCTTCCCTGTAGTGCAGCTCTTCTACAAATAGATACTATCCTTTTGCTTCGAGAGACCCCTTAACTACAGTTCCTTGTATATATAACCTGCCTTCTAGACAACTTAAGAAAGCAATCCATCCTTATGTAATTTTAGATTACTGATCCCGGAAACTTTGTTTTCATCATTATTGTCAAATGCTGACTTTTATTCTCTTAGAAAACAATTGATAAATGTGCTGTGGTAGGACGCAGAACACATAGTGGAAAGTAGAATTAAGGGCATAAAAATTTCTGGACATGATAAAACCAGAGCATGGGAGACCTATATAACTATCTCTCACTTTTAATATGTTCTACCCTGACATACACACTTCCCTCTTTCTTACTCTGAATTTCACTGCTTTTCTGACTTACCTAGCCTATCTCTGCTATATATAATCTCATTTCCGACACACTCTACTTTCTCACAACAGGTCAATCACACCTCATATTAACAGTGTACATGTCTCCCTGCCTCGATATAAGCTGTGAGGTTTCTACCAAATCTTGCCTTGTTTTATTCTCAGAACCCTAAGGCAAAGTGCAAGACATAAAGCTTAAAAAAATATCTGTTAAATTCTGCCGACTTTTCTCCATATAAGATCTTTCTTCTCACTTTCCCACTATTCATTTTCCCATTTAACAAGTAAGCTGTGGAATCTTGAAAAATCTCATCACAAGTGTTTCTACATCTGTCCCTGTACTTATTCAGATGTTTACTAGAGGTCAGGCACTGTGCTATGCACTAGTTACAGAGATAACGAGGACAAAATCCTTGACCTTGAACCTTCTGAAATCTATTGAAAAGGCAAATATAAAGAGGCACTTTACATGGTGATAATGTGTTTTAAGGGACATGATAAAAGTGCTACAGGAGCCTGGATGAGAAAACATCTCATTCTGTGAGAGGACCAGAGATGGTTTAATGGGCAATGAAGCTGGAATTTATTTTTATATAATCAATAGTTTATAGGAGAAAGAATGGAGAAGGTGGCAAATCAAGTCGAAAAGGAGGAAATAACATGTAACAAAGCACAAGTCATGAATGAAAGGCCAATGGCTGGCATGGTAGAGAATGGCAGCAATTGTGAGAGTGAAGATCATGGTGCCAAAAGAGGAACTATTATGTTAGCACAGGAGAGATAATATGGATCTTAAGTAGAAGAAACAAAAATGAGAAGACAATGTATGATCAAGGCATTGTGCTAGGGGGTGGGTAAGGGGAGGAATACAGGATAACTTAAGAGTAATTTGGTTACTAAACAAGTAAAGCAGTTAACTTATCCTAGTTACATAACTCCTTGATAAATATTAGCATTTTTGATTTGTAGCTTAGACAACTGGGTGGAGGATAACATCAATAACCATGATACGGCATAATTGTTTTGGTGAAAGCATGGTGGGAATGGAATGTAAGATGATTTTGGTTTAAAAAATGTGAGGTTCAAGGTGTCTGTGGTACTGGAATGCTGCGGAGCAGAGTTAGATAACAAGTTTAGAGTTCAGGAAGAGCTTCAGCTTTGAAGCTCTACTTCAGAAAGCTGTGAAAATACAGAAGTATGGTCATGCAAATAGGACTGCACCCAGGAACCACAACAGACTGAGAAAAGGCTAATGGAGAACCGGAGGGGAAAATCATACTTAAAGGGTAGGGAATGGAAGCCCGTGAAGAATGAGAAAACCAGGTAGGAGAACCAGAAGTGAGGTCCAAGCACTAAAGACAGAGGCTCCCAAAGTTCGCTGCCCAGGGATCTCTGAAAAATACTGATGCCTAGCTGCCAGCTCAAACTGTGTAATGTGATTAAGGAATGGCGTGTGATCACAGCATCTGGATTTCAAAAGGCTAAGGGTGACTTTAATGTGCAACCAAGTGTGGGAATCCCTGATTTAAGGACTCATTAACAATGTTTTAGGAGGAAGAGGTTAAGAGTGAATTTCTGAATTAAAGTTTAATAGAAAAGGTAACATGTTAGCATTTTTAAATCTCTTATTTCTTAATATTTACTTACCTTATTTTTTCAATTATATCTTCCAAAAGATACTCCACAACTGGAAAAGTGAAACCAGGTATGTGTATCATTGGACAGTTACCTATTATGGTAAAAAAAAACAAACATAAGTCTATACTCAATAAAATAAAAATAAACACTATAAAAAGGACGATGAATCTATTCTTTTTTTTTTTTTTTCCTGTATTCCCCCATTCAATCTTGTCTGCCACAATCAGACAGACAGAAAGGGGAAGGACACTTTTTTCTTGCATCTGTACTGGAAACCTTTGCAGCAGACAGTAACTGCTCCAGGGAATCTATTACTTTTTATAACTTCAGAAAATGGTCCTGAGCTTTTACAGCTCTATCCTATTTTCTATATCTAGTTCAATAAAAGGCAGCAGCCTAGCCTTCACTCAACACCATTTTACTACTACTAAACTGTGCATATACCTCACAGTTCTACAAAGTAATGCAGAATATCAAAGGACAAAGTATTTTAAATTGCACTTAAAATCCATTATGAGCAGTCTATTTCCTCTTCATCATTAGCCAGAATATTGCATTAGAACCCGTTTTATTTAAATCTATATATGAAGCAGTCCTCCGTGGCTCCCAGAATTAAGAAAAAAGTAGTTAAAATAAAACCTAATCAAATATTAAACTGTTACTATTTTAGAATTATTAGTTTTTAAAAAAATATTCTTAAAACTGTTTTCTAAATGTTATTCATATTTTGTACCAAAGAAAACAGTACACACTGTAAGCAATGGTCAACAATGCAGTAGAGGTCAAAGTAACTGAGGTGGTATCACAGCTCTGCCTCTGATTTTCATAAATTTGAGTAAGTTACTCAATTTTAGTTCTGGATACCGAATTAAAAAAAAAAAAGACATAATACACTCAACCGATCTCACAGGCTTTGAGAGTCAACGAGGCTGAATACAAGAACATGTATTAAATATAGCTCTATTCCATTTAACTCCCTACTTTTTCCTCTCCTGCCCCAATTAAAAGTAGGAGAGACAGGGGAATAATTTTAAAAGAATATATTTTGCAGCTAGTCAAACTGAATTTCAAATCCTCTCAACCCTCTGCTAATTAGGCAACCTTGGTAAGCTATTTAACTGGCTGAGGCTTTCTCTTCTTTAAAAATAAAAATAACAGCACCTACCTCACAACATATTATGAGAATTAATAAAGACAAAGTGCCATACATACTACGTTGCACAGTGACTAGTAATCACTAGTATTATTGTCATTAGCAAATTGCCACCCTAGCCTGTGAATAGAACATAAAAGCCACAAAAGTATCATAAAATGTTAATAAAATTATTCAGATTTGTGGTTTGACTTTATTGATGCCACCTTAATTATCTGGTAGTTACCCAGAGTAATAATCATAAATTTTACTCACCAAAATATTCTGAGAATTTCTCAGCATTCAATGTTGCACTCATCAATATTACTTTCAGGTCAGGTCGATAATTGAGAAGGTCTTTAATTACAGTCATTAAAACATCTGACTGCAGGTTTCTCTCATGGATTTCATCAAGCACAATATGACTAACACTGGACAAATGCCTGAAGCAGAAGTATGGTGAAGTATGTAACTCAGTATAACAATTAGTAACATCCTATTTAATAATTACATCTTTTATAGGACTTAATTAAATGTCCTGAATTGAAATATACTCACGGGTCTGACTGAAGCCACTGAAGGATGATTCCTGTTGTACAGTATAAGATAGAACCCTGTTTCCTTGGCAACCGGCTGTGAATAAAAGACACAAGTAAACAATTCTTGGTTTTCTTTACTAGTACATTACTAAGTACCACAAACATCTAAAAGAAAATCTTCAATTTTAAAAAGGTTTATAGTTTTAATGAAAATCTTCAACTTAATTTTGTAGTTATAGGAATGCCTACCAGGTAATGAGAAATACTACATCCACATTCATTATACATTGTTTTTGTTGTCATGATACAATGTTAATAATTTATTTTTTAAAGGCATAAACAACCACTGACATTCAGAAAATGACTCATTACTTTGGACCTAAACTTCTGTTCAGTGATTGGAAAGTCAGTTGATTAAAAAAGATAAATGGAATCTTGATCTCCAGGAAAAAAACTAAAAAAATACAATGAAGTGGGATAAGGGGTTAAAGATACCAAAATCAATAAGGTAGGTCAGGGGCTGGGTGTGGTACCAAAATATAGGACACTAACTCCTTTCAGGGGAAGCGATGATCTACTAATGTATGTCCAGAAAATGTTACTTTTCAAATCATTCCATAATATAGAAGACATTAAAATGGTAATCTAAATATCAAATTGGGTTACAAAAATGACTGAGGGTTGCAAACCTCCTATGCTTGTTACTTTAAATGTTAATTCTAGTAGTTATAATTGGCATACATATGGAGAAAAATCTTTTCTTTTTTAATCTCTAGCTTCAAATTTTAACTAAAATATACCTGTAAACAAGTGAACATTCTTTACTCTGGAGACGAATTTGGTATCCAGTACTATTACCATTGCCACAAGTTTCTGCCCTTTCTGCAGCCACTCTCTCTGCAACCTTTAGTTAAAATAAAATACAGTTACAAAGAAAAGAGATTTTCCTTTAGTACAAATATCCTAACCATCCATGAAAATCTGATGGTTATATTTACTCGCCTCTTATATTTACTTTTCATTTTCTCTTAAGCTCTCCAAGGCCAAATGCTCTTTCTTCACTATTTTCAAAGTGTCTTTCTACAGCCACCCTCTCATTATTTCTTCCCTTTCTTTTTGTCTTTTCTAAAAGAGTAGGAAATCCTGTTCTGAACTTATATTAACACTAGAGGTCTGGTGCATGAAATTCGTGCATGGGCAGGGTCCCTAGGCCTGGCCGGCAATCACAGCCAATCTGTGGGATGACTGGTGGGGCAATCGTGGGCCCCCACTGACACCCACCTTGGCTGGCCTGGTGCCGCTCGCTGGCTGGCCCCAACCCCCATCGCTGCCACCGCCGCTGGTTGCAAACAGCAGGGCAATCAGGGGGCCTCCTGCTGGCACCCGCATTGCCTGGCCTGGGGCCTGAGAGCTGGGAGCAGCTCCTGCATTGAGCATCTGCCCCCTGGTGCTCAGTGAGCGTCACAGCAACCGGTCATTCCGTCATTCGGTTGATTTGCATATTAGGCTTTTATTATATATGATGTATTTACCCTCAAATTCCATGCAAGTTTTATATTTGGTTGTTTCTTTTGGTTTTAGACTGGTGGTTCTTTCTTTTTTTAAGAAGTGTGTTTATAATTTTTTAAAATGTTTTTACTGATTTCAGAGAGGGAGGGAGAGATAGAAACATCAATGATGAGAGAGAATCATGGATCAGCTGCCTCCTGCACACCCCCAACCTGGATCGAGCCCAAAACCCAGGCATGTGCCCTGATGGAAAATCGAATTATAACCTCCTGGTTCATGGGTCAATGCCCAACCACTGAGGTACACTGGCCAAGCAAGATTGATGTTTCTTAATTCCTAGTTCTTCATTGTGTTTTAAAACTTATGGTGCCAAAGGTAAGCTCTGGATAGATGAAATGCTATTATAATCATACTGATTTATGTAACTAAAAGTAAACAGTCATCTTGTAACAGAACAGTGATGACAGAGGTTAGAAACAGAAAATGACATGATTACTTTTAAAGAAATACTTCAGAAGTAAAACTTCCAATCAGTGTATCTGGTACACATCATTATTTCACTTTTCACTACTTATACTATCCATTCAAAAACAACAGATTTGGGGGGAAAAAAGAAAAAGAAAAAAAAAAGCTATTATCAAGACTACCCTAAAGGAAAAAGGAAAGTGAAGTGAGAGATAACTTACAGAAATGGCACTAATTCTTCTTGGCTGGGTACAAACTATCCTGCATGCAGATCCTTTTCCTCTTTCGATGTAATTATCCAAAATGAACTGAGTAACTTGAGTGGTTTTTCCACAACCAGTTTCACCACTTATTACCGTCACCTGATGATTATCGATCATATTTACCAATTCCTATTTCAAAAAGAAAAATAAGTGAAGGACATCACATGTTAAGTCTGAAAAGACAGTTATCGAAGTTCTATCAAACTGAAGGTAACTGCTCCCAACAAACACTAATGCCTTTTAAATTTTATGTGAAATGCTGACAGTTTGGGTTTTTGGATATACCAGTTTTCAAGAGCTAAGAAGCACTAAATTATTAAAAGAACTCAGCCAAGACACTGTTAAAGAAAAACACACTGGTAAGAACAAAAGAGTCAACAGCTCATAAGTTCCATGCATAAGGATTAATTAAAAAGAATGTGATCATATGGGGCTATTAAGTACAAGGCAAATATCCCCTGATACCTAAACAACTACTGAAGACATTAAAAATTTATATCTTAATTCATAAATATGGCTTTATCTGTAGGACAAATTTTGTATACTGTTTTAAAGAATAATGTAATTTAAAATTATTTCCTTTCAAATAATTAAAATCAAGAAAAAAATTTAAATACCTAAGTTTACAAAATAACTTTTGTGAAAATTCTTGTTTTTAAACTCTAAAAATTTCAATTATGGACATAAATATAAGCAAACTTTAGAAAAAATTGTTTCATGACCATATTTTTGTTTTCAACAATTCAAAAGAATGAGTTTCTAAGAATATCCTTCAGAGAAAGGTTGATAAATTTGTATTTCTTCTTAACATAGCACTTTGTAAAAAAAACCTGTATTCAAGTATTTTACAAATCAAATTAAACAGTGCATAATCATTTTACCTTTTGCATTCCAAATGAAGGCAGCTTTTCCCTGAAATGCTGAAATAAAAAAAAACACAAGTTATAAATTTTCACCAAAAACTGGAATGAATTTATAATTCTGGTAATCAGAATATATTGATAAATATGCTAGAATACAAGTATTTTATTACCTCACAGCTTACGTGAAGTATCAAGACTTAAAAAATAATTTTTTAAAAAAAGAACTAAGTAATAACTCAGCAATCACTTTGGTTTTTGAAACATAGAAAAATAGAATTCTATTACATCCAATAGAACGGAGATACTTTCTTAGAGTAAGTGACAGTAAAATTAAATCTGATCTATCATCTAATAGCATTCTTACTATCCCTAAGTTGCATTTACAATTTTTTCTCTTCGTTTTATATATTCATCTTAGATTTTATTTCTGTATCATATTCTTTTCCCACTCATTGATCCACACCATTTACTAATGCATTAGGCACTAGAACATATTCAAAGTATTCTGGGTACTTGTCTTTGAGTATAAAACAAAGCTTAAAACAGTATCTGCAGTAAGAAAATCTGGTACTGTCATTTAAGAACTGTGATCTTAAGTCAAACTTGGAGGCCCAAAGGTTTTAACTGAGGGCTACCACAGATCTGAATGAAGAGCCTTTATATAAAAAATTAGTAGCAGTTTCTGACACATATTAGCTACTCAACAAGTTTTTTGGGAATTACAATTAGAAATACTAAAGACAGCATGACTAATTCTTTCCTGTAACTTTTACATGGTAATTTCTAGTTTTGAAAACTTTATGGAACCCCATACCCACACTACATAAAAATGACATACACTAAGAAAGAAGCACTATGGTTGACACTGAACTAGATGTATTATCCTATACCCGTGGTCGGCAAACCGCGGCTCGTGAGCCACATGAGGCTCTTTGGTCCCTTGAGTGTGGCTCTTCCACAAAATACCATGTGCGGGCGCCCACAAACAGTGCGATTGAAACTTCATGGCCCATGCGCAGAAGTCGGTATTTTGTGGAAGAGCCGGTATTTTGTGGAAGAGCCACACTCAAGGGGCCAAAGAGCCGCATGTGGCTCGCGAGCCACGGTTTGCCGAGCCACAGTTTGCCGACCACTGTCCTATACTATAATAAGAGCATGATATGCAAATCTACCAAACGATGGAATGACCAGTCACTATGACATGCACTGACCACCAGAAGGCAGACACTCAACACAGGAGCTGCCCCTTTGTGGTCAGTGTGTTCCCACAAGAGGAGCACTGCTCAGCCAGAAGCCAGGCTCACAGCTGGCGAGTGCAGCGGTGGTGGCAGGAGTTTCTCCTGCCTCCGCTGCAGGTGGGCAGTAAGGAGCGAGGGGTCCTGGACTGTAAGAGCCCCGGACAGCAAGAGGGATGTCTGAGTGCTGGCTTAGGCCCCATCCCCCCTGGGTGACTTAAATGAATTCTAGTGCTTTGAGATAACAAGTCACAGGGCCTAAGCCGGCAGTTAGACATTCCCCGAGGGGTCCCTGACTGAGAGAGGGAGCAGGCTGGCCTGAGGGACCCCTCCCCACTGTCGTGCATGAATCTCATGCACCGGGCCTCAAATATAACATAAAAAAAAATCTTCAGGGGTATAAAAAAATAAACCAGTTTTAACAAACCCTCTTTATTGAAGAGGGGGAAAAAATGCAAAATTACAACTATCCTAGGTAATCTAGTATATTACTGCCATGCTTTTTAATTTCTTGAAACATCATCCTTCTTAATTTTTTGCCCATTTGACTTGTCAAGATGGAGACTATGTCAAAGTCCCTAATACTAGTTTATTCTATATAATAGAGCTAATATGCTAATCAGACTAAACAGAACGACCATCCGGACATCCTTCCAGATGACCGTCTGGACGACCTTCTGGATGATGCCTGGGCTGCGAGGGCTGGCCAAGGCTTTGAGGGGCTGCCAGGGATGGCCAAGGCTGTGACGGCCGGCTGAGGCAGCCGGGGATGCGGGGGCCAAGCCCCTTGCATGAATTTCGCACATCGGGCCTCTAGTTGAGATATAATTTGGCACATAACATTGTCAGTTTCAGGTGTACAACATAATCATTCACTATCCGTATATACTGTGTAATGATCACCGCAATAAGTCTAGTTAATATCCATCACTACACAGTTTTAATTTTTTTTCTCATGATGAGAACTTTAAGATCTATTTCCTAGCAACATTCAAATATACAATATAGTGCTATTATTAACCATGCTCTATATGCCATCCTTGTCATGGTCAGGTAATTCATACTAGTGCCATAAAAATGAGTCAACATGGTGACTTAAATGAATTCTAGTGGCTTTGAGATAACAAGTCACAGTAATTTTCTTAGTAATTTATTTTATTATAATTTTAAAATTATTTAAAAACCATTTCTTAATGATTTAAAAAAATAGTACCCTATGTAGTTAAATGCAACCATCTTAACATGTAAGTATATACAAGTTATCCCATTAAACTAACATCAACCATATTTGCTTTCTATATACGTAAATGCTGGTGAAGGGAGAATTACAACCAAATATTCTTTCCCATTCCTTATCTAAGGACAGGGAATATCTTATCAGTCTTTGGAAAATATAGCACAACGAAAGACATCTAGTAAGTAAAAAATTAAATAAATCATAAAGTAAGAGAAAATATGGCATATTACCAAGGATTAAAGAGTTGAACTCTTAAACACATCTGAACTTCAGACCTGGTTCTATACTAGCTATGTAACCTTAGGTCGCTTAACCTAAGATTCCTTTTCCTCATCTGTAACAGACATGTATAATCTCATACAAGGTGTTGGGAGGTTTAAAGGACATAGTATATGTAAAATATTTACAACAGTGTCTGGACAATAGGTACACCACTAACTGGTTTTGTTTTGCACATTTCTTCTCTAACTTTCTCTAAATTAAAACAATCATTCAACTTTAATAACATTTGAGCTCTATCCTCCATACAAAGTAAACAGAGACAGTAGCTAATTCTCCTTGTTCCTAAGGCAACAAACAAAAGAAGCTGTACTCTCTTGTTCTGGCCAGCGTGACTCAGTTGGTTGAGTGTTGTTCCAAGCACCAAGAGGTCACCAGTTCGATTCCCAGTCAGGGCACATACCTGGGTTGCCGGCTTGATCCCCAGTAGGGGGTGTGCAAGAGACAGCCAATTGACAGTTCTCTCTTATCAATATTTCTCTTTCCCTCTCCCTTCCCCTCTCTCTAAAATAAATAAAAACCTATTATAAAAAATAAAAGAAACTCTGCTCTCAACTACATTCTGAATTAATTCATCTTGAAATCCTCTTTGTCCTTATATTTTCACTCAACAGGCATAAATAAGCTACACAATTTGGCCTCTGGACAACCTCGGTCACCTGTTCTAATCAAGATATCTACTCTTAATCAGCAACAGTCAATGCATCCTTTCTTTCCCACAGAAGATGTGATATTCTGCCTTTCTCTATCTCTAGAACATCCACAAATCACACAATTTTATCATTTAACTAGAGGCCCGGTACGTGAGCGTCTGGCATGAAAGGGCAAGTCCCAGCTGACCTCTGGGTTCTGGGAAGCACCTGGGCCCCCAGGAGCGCCCCTCCGCCTGAGTCATCGGGCCCCCCGCGAGCTCCCTCAGTGCCTGAGAGCCGGGTGGCTGCCCAGCTCCCTGCCTCTGCCACCACTGGTCACCATCTGTGGGGTGATCAATGGGGTGATCGCGCCCCGCTTGCACCTGCCTTGGCCTGGCACCGCAAGCTCACCTGCTCCACCATCCTGTCGCAGTCCCACTCTGGTCAGGGCCCATCAGGGCTGGCAGTGCCTCTGCCAACGCCCGCCATGATCAGCACACTCATAGTGAGCAGTCGAACTCCCGGTTGAGGGGGCAATTTGCATATTAGGCTTTTATTATATAGGAGGAGGAGGAAGGATAGGAAGGGACCTTAAAATATCTTGCCTAGCACAAAAATATTGGGGGGGGGGGGGGAATCCAGGACAATTTCAGTTCCTATCACAATCCTGTCTTTAAAATGTTTAATATCATATAACTTTTGAGGGGGTTTAATGTGGTCATCTGTAAAAGGCAAGCTCTGGACTAAATGGTAGAGAAGAAACTTTATACTTCTAACCACTGTGTCATAAAAGACATTTCCCTAAACTGGCCTAGTAAAGTTAAACTTCTTTTGTCATTTGCATTACCATTTTCAAATATTTTTTCTCCTCACCATATAAGCTGCTGTAAATGAGCTAGGCTATTGTAATTATGTATAATTCCATTCCTGTTGCTTTTCTCTACAATTTGAGGGGGAAAAATTCTCAGAGGAAGGCCTGTTGAGGAATCTCACTAATCTATACCATGCAACTACCTCTAAATATAATTTTATTGCCCTAGCTAGTTTGGCTCAGTGGACGGAGCATTGGCCTGTGGACTGAAGGGTCCTGGGTTCGATTCCGGTCAAGAGCACATGCCCGGGTTGCGGGTTTGATCCCCAGTAGGGGGCATGCAGGAGGTAGCCGATCAATGATTCTCTCTCATCACTGATATTTCTCTCTCTCCTTTCCCTTCCTCTCTGAAATCAATAAAAATATATTTAAAAATATATATATACACATATATGTATGTGTATATATATACATGACATATATATATATACACATATATGTCTATGTATATATATACATGAGAAGTAAAAGTTTTTTCCACGTCTTGCTTCCCATTACCTGCATTTCAATATACCGAAGGTCAGTTTTTTTCTTTTGTAAATCTTCCAATAACTGTTGGTCTAAGTTTACGTCTGGTTCATTTTCTTGCAAGAGATATTCAGAATCTCGGTCAATATATTTGTCCCTGATTCTGAATGTCTTCTTTTCTTGATTCATCAATTTTTTTTCCCGGTCCTCCAATTTCTTCTCTGAGTTTGGTTTGTTCTCAGCAGGAGCTTTAGAACCATACCTATTTTGACAAAATAAAAAAAATGACAAAAGGGTTAAATAACTACTCAAGCCTGGAAAGAAAACAATATTCTGTTTAATTATTTCAAAATCACCAAAATCAAAAGCTTTTATTCTTTTCTTTGAGTAGAGCAATTATGAACAAACTTAGATTCTTAAAATTTTTCCTCCCTACAACTAGATAATGCCAGATAAGGTATTCCTTGTGGTAATAATAATAAAAAAATCGACATAAGTCATTCCTCCATTGCAATGGCTTAGTGAGCCTTGTTGTTTTTAAAACTTTATTTCTTCCTGCCACCTTTTCTGAGCTATAAATGGGATGCTGTATTACAGTCCCAGAAAATTTTTCACTAATCTCCTCTCTAAATGATAGTTTCTGTGATTTTCTTAAAACAACATCACTTTTTGCAGATCTCTCCCACAGGAAAATTTTGGAAATACAAAAATGATGGGAACAATAAGTAACAACTTGATAAATCTCATATGAAGGTAGACTATTCCTACCACTTAGCTTTCCTGTAGAATACGCTATTTTTATTTATTTAATCTTTCATAAAATCTCCATCTACTTAAGAAAAATGACTTCGAGACTAAATTTCACTTATTAGAGAGTCTAAACATGGAATTTCTATTATCATTTTTTCCCTAGCCAATGCTATGAAAGAAGTGTCACTCTCTGCCCATTTTTTAAAAGAACACTTTTTGTTTTACCCATGATCTTCAGGAGCAAACCAGGATATCTGTGCTTCTGAATCTTTGTCACTCTTAGCTTGGACAGAATGTAGTAGCTGCACAATTTGTTCTTCTCGATGTTCATCCATATGCACTACGGCTCTCTATTTTGTGCAAAGAAAAAGCATCCTCATCAACATGAGAAAGCATATATAAAATTATTTGATACAAAAATACAGGCAAATATATGTTCAACAAACACATGTAAGAGAAAGTTAATGTTACCAGTACCACACTTGCCTTCTTACCCAAATCCAATTCCTAGACCTAATATGTTAACATTTTTGTATCTATCCTTCAAGATCCCTATTATATATGTACAAAATTAGCTCTAGTGTAACTGGGTAAAAATGCATATTTATGTTCCTTCCTAAAACTTGGGTTCCCTTACCTTCTACCCTCACATATTATGATTTTGTTCCCTACCTTAAATTTTCAGATACCCACAATTGAAGTTAATGAAACCCAATATTCTGTTTAAAAACAAACACTAAGTTAAAAATTGGAAATACTAGTTTGGTTGCAATGAGAATTTTAAGAGCATTTTAAAGTTCTTACATAAGAGGAATAAATTGGGCTCAGAGAAAATATATACAACAATCAGTGCTCATGAGATGATGATCCAATATGGCAAATGATGCACTTTCCTCATAGAATGAGAATTTTTAAAACACACACACACACGCACACCACACACAGCAAAGGCCTGGCTGATGTGGCTCAACTGGTTGAGTATTTTCCCATGCACCAAGAGGATCCATTCCAGGTCAGGGCACATGCTGGGTTCAGGCTTGATCCCCAGTAGGGGCAGCTGATTGATGTTTTTTTTTCCTCTCTCTCTCTCCCTTCCTCTCTCTCTAAAAATCAGTAAAAAACATATTAAAAAAAAAAAAACACAGTAGAGAAAATATTACATTATTTTATTGGGAGAGAATACATGGAAGATATTACTCTGTACAAAGTTAGAAAAAGAACTTTTAAAAACTGTTCTTTTATAACTGCAAATTATAATTAGTTGAATTATAAGTAAACCCAGTAGTTAAAAGAGTGGGTAGATTTTTGTCTTCAAGTGTGCACACAGTAAAGATGGCCAAGATATTAAATGAAAAAAAGCCAGTTGTAGAAAATGTGCAATAGGATCTTGTTCTGGTTACTATTAATTTTTTAAACAAGTTATTCACTTTACAGTCTACACTTTTTGCAGTATTTTTTCCAGATATATTTCTGGCACATGGTAGATGTTCCAGAGAAGTCTGTCCAAAGAATGGATAAATGGTTGAATCCTTTAAAATGAGAATATATAACATTTGGGTTAAAACCATTTTTCTCTTTAAGAATATAAACATGTGCACAAAAAGAATACAATGAGATATTTGGGGAATTCCAGGAGAGCTGTACTAATAACTTATTAAAGGGTTAATAAAAGCATAATTATGCTCAGACAATTAAAAAGTTTAATACTGCAAAACCCTGGCTAACAGAAAAGCCTTAGAGAATTACGAGCTGCAGCAAAACCTAATTATTGACAAACACTAAACCCCCAAATTTTGTCTGTTTTTCTTAATTGTGCAGCATAAATCTTTTTAAGATGGTTTATATAATGGACTACTGGTATCTTTTCTTCTATAGGGTATGTCCACTGAAACTGGTTTCTCCTGGATTCTGCCCTATGCACCTTTATCTTTGCTGATTTTAATCTGTAATAATTTGCTGTAAAAACAAAAGCAAAAAATTCACTGTGAGTTCGCCAGCTTTTCAGAGTTTTGTGATTCCTCCTAGTGAATCATGGTACCTGAGTGTGGTCTTGGCCACCCCCAACACACAGATTCATTATTAGAATATTTCCCCCTATAGTTTAAATTTTGAAATGTCTTTGACATATATTAACATTTACTGCTCCATGAACTACATTAGATGGTTACTGATTACTATGTCTTTTCTTGACAGTTAGAAATTTAAGAATCTACAGCAATAGTTTAATTAAAGACTCCTCTGGGAAGGAAGCCCCAAGACAGTCTTCTCAAATAAAGCTTTCTTAATTTTTATACCCTTCCCAACTACATCAAGGGCTCAAAGCCATTGTTTCTTTCATTCATTTTCAAAATGGCAAAGAGAAGATTATGTACTGTCTACCAGAAGAACGATTTCTTCCCAACTGAAACTCATTCACAGTAAAGCATTTCTTAAACCAACTGGAACTTTACATTTTGAAGCTTTTGCCTCTACTAACAGAACAAAGGTTCACCTCCTCACCTTGTTACATGAGTTTAAGATAGTCACAAAAAGGCAAGATGATTGCAAAATGAAATAGCCCCTGAAAACATAATTGATACTTTTTAGTAAGAACACAACTTACCTTTTTTTTAAAAAAATGTTTTCATTGATTTTTATAGAGAGGAAAGAAGAGAAAGAAAGAGAGAACCATGGACAAGCTGCCTCCTACCAGAGATGGAGCCCGCAACCCAGGCTTATGCCCTGTCCAGGAATTGAACCAACAACCTTTTGGTGCATGGGATGAAGCTCAACCAACTAAACCACAGTGGCTGGGGCAAAATTTACATATTTTATAAATTAATTTTAATGAGGTTCTCCACACAATGAGGGCCCAGAGGCTACAAGCAGTTGAGAACTTGTTTGTAAGCTGCGTCCTTCCTAACCTTCCAGTCCCATCACTCTTCACTTTATCTCACCCCTGTCTGGAAACTCTCACACACATTTTGTTTATGACTATTTGATTTGATTTTTTAAACATTACCCCTCTCCCTCCCCAGACATCTTCAAATAGTTTTTATCTTTTTCCTGGCAAAAGAGACCCTCAATAGTGTCCAGCAAAGTGGCTATGTCTACTTCACCAGCTTCTAATTATCTGCAACTATTTCAAACTTTCTCCTTTCTGTGACACACCAATACCACCTTCCTGTTCACCCTCATAATTTCACACACAGTATTCACAAAGAAAACAAAAAGTCCTCAATTGCTTGCAATCAAACCTAAACCCAACACTACCAGAACCCATCATTTATTCTTTTCCTTCCTGTTAAAATGGAAGGAGTCCATTTTCCTGCTTAAAGTTAATTTCTCCACCTAAACCCTGCAGCTCAATTCCGTTCACCTCAGGGCTATCTCCTATTTTTGAGGTTTATCTTCCTTTCCTAAATCGCTCTCCCTCTAGTAGTCATTAGGCTATTGATCAATATTCTGGTTTGCTTCTTTCTAGATATATGGTAGGATTGCATTTTCCCAGCCCTGAGTTAAGCATGGCCATGATTTACTGGCCAGAGAAATGTGAATGGGAGTCTCCAAGAATCAGGGGTGATTTACTGTGCTCCCTCCTGGCTGTCAGCAAAACCAGCTAAATGGGTGGAGGCGCGAGGAGCCTCATTCTCATAATGAAAACTCTCAACCGTACTCCCATGGTCAAGTAATATGAGTAGAAAAACAAACCTCTGCTGTTATGAGCCGCTGATCTGGGGGCGGTTTACTGCTACGGCATGATTTGGCCCACGCTGATATACGTTCCCTCTCCACTGACCCCCATCATAGCATCAGTACATGAACAATGTCAAATCTCTTCACTTTTAAAACAAAAACAATCACCCAGGAGGCTAGGAACAGAGAATAAAATAGGGGCTTGACTATGGTAACTGTTGTGATTTGACCTGGGACATATTAAGAAGGCAGAACAGACAGATTTGCTGAAATGAAAGAGAAAAGTCACAGATCAGCCCCATTTTGGCCATGGCAGGTGAATAAGTGGTAGTGACATTTACAAAAATAGGAAGGTTTGGGGAGGGGTTGGAAATCAAGAGTTCCCCTGATAACGGTCCACAGCACAACTGGTTTCAGGTGGAAGTAATGATGAACAATTACTCCTGATTTCACTTTTCATCCGTTTTGGTCTTATTTCCCCAACTAGACCCTAAGTTACTTGGATATCTTATTTCTTCAGGTCCCCATAGCAACATGCATAACACCTTGCGTGAAAACGGGGGTAAACAGAACTTGGCAACGAGTCTTTAGGAAGTTACTGCGGGTTTGTGGCTGTTTTAATACTAAAAATGAAAGCTGGACGATTCTGCCGAACGACCTACACGCCAAATCGTGCCTGGCAGCTTTTGTTCCCCGCAAACCTGTACCTAATGCAGAATGGTCGCTAGTTCAGAGCGCATCGGGCAAAAATCTTAAAAGGAAGCGACCATAATTCTCCTAAGGGAAAGGGTGGAAATCTTAGTAAAAGTGACCATAATTATTCTAAGGGAAAGGGCGGCCACAAACACTATGACAGTGACATCCCAAGGCAGCCCGTCTCGGCTGGAGCCTGGAATGAACACTGGCTTTGTCCCCCGTGCTCCGGCCGAGCGCACTTATGCAGCCCACAACCATCCCAGCGGCTTCAGGTCAGAGGCGCTTGGCTAACGTTAAGCCACAGAGTATCCTCCACAGGAAGCTCTATCCTAGCTCCTTTGCGCTTCATATTCACCCCACAGAGCACTGACACCGGTTAAGGAACCAAGTTAAGGAACAAAAACAGAAACAAAGAGAAAGTTAGGGGCGGCGGCAGAGAACAGAACCGCTACCCGGCCTCACGCCCTGCCTGGCCCCGCCGCGTCTCCGATTACCTCCTGCCTCTCGGCTTCCTTGTTCTTCTGCCCCTGCTTCTTCGCGTACCACAAGCCGATGTCGCGGCCTTTCAGGTGCCCAGGATGTCGGCCTCGGCCTCCGCGCCCACCCCCGCCGCCGCCTCCGGAGCTTCGACTCCCCCCATGGCCCCCTCCGTAGCCCCCGCCGGAGCCGCGGGGCCCACCATCGCGGCCTCCACCGTCGCGGCCCCAGCTCTGATGGTAGTCATAGCTCATGGTCCTGGCGGACTACAACGCGTGAGAACCTGCAACCGATAGAAATGGCGACCGGGACCGGAAGCGAATGCACGTCCACTTCCGCTTTGCTTCCGGCGCCCGGCGCGAGAAGGCGGGCCCATTAGCGTCACAAGCGGCCATTTCCGGCGACGTCACCGGCAAGCGGGAGGTTTGCTCCAGTGAAGTCCTCTGTGATGTTCCCTCGGTTGGTCAGTCGCTTACCTGTGAGCCTCTGGAAGGAGAGCGAGCAAAAGGCTACAAGGTTTTCCCCCTACGCCCAACAAGTGAGGAAATGGGTTTTGCTTCCATGTTCTTCATGGTAAAATCTGGAGTTTGCGTCCAATTGGGCCCTGGATAGTGAATATGGATTGACACTAAAAGGACCAGTGGGACGATGCATTCTCCCCTAAAAGTCCCTAAAGCAGCGGTTCTCAACCTGTGGGTCACGACCCCTTTGGAGGTTGAACGACCCTTTCACAGGGGTCGCCTAAGACCATGGGAAAACACATATATAATTACATATTGTTTTTGTGGTTAATCACTATGCTTTAATTATGTTCAATTTGTAACAATGAAAATACATCCTGCATATCAAATATTTACATTATGATTCATAACAGTAGCAAAATTATGAATCAGTTATGAAGTAGCAACGAAAATAATTTTACGGTTGGGGGTCACCACGACATGAGGAACTGTATTAAAGGGTCACGGCATTAGGAAGGTTGAGAACCACTGTTCTAGGGCTACGTCTTGGAAACTGCCTGGCACCTGTTTCAAATATTTAATTACGTATAAAAACGTCCCTGCCTTTCTAAAAGGATTATCACTACTACCTTTATCCAACAGCATGAGATGAGCATGTTCAGTACAGAGCAGTTAGGCAATTAAACATCAGTTGAAGATTCATAAGTTCATATGAAGTTCTTTGTTGTTGATTGACCAGGCCACTAAGTGTCTAGCTATTCTTGAATAATCAACGGACTGAGACAGACAGGCGTGGATGCTCACAAAGAGTTAATCAGTTTATTTGCACATTTTACTGATTTAAAGGCACTAGGATACTCACTGAATAAAGGAAGTAGGGCATCAGCTTTCGTTTTGTGCAATCTTGAGAAAATAAAGGCTAAAGAAATTAGTGTGCAGTGAATTAAGAAAGAAAATGCCATATGCTGGGAAGGGTTGCAGAATACTGCCTCTGTGGCATAAAACATATTTTGAGAAGATAGATTTGATTTCCTGAAATTGCTTATCTGCCTAAAAGCAGAGCCTCCCCAAAGAACTCAATTTTCATAAATCCCTTCCCTGCGGGGAGGAACCAGGGAAGACTAACTCCTACCACTGGAGGCTATAAAGTCAGCAACACACCTAAACAGACATTCTCAAAAAACTATCATATCTTCCATCCACTCTCATAATGCCCATTTCTCTTTCCTAAAAGTCCTGTGCTTTCCCATAAGAACCTTTTCTTCCTCTTCTTCCTCTGTTAAAATGCCATTAAACCTCAAATTCTAATTCCTTTCTTGAGTCATATTTTTCTTTGAATTCATTTAGGTGTGACTAAATCTTGTCTGTCCTCTTGCTTATTTGTCTGTTGTGGTTTAATTTGCAGGCCTCAAGAACTAAACCTATGAGGATAGAAGAAAAGTTTTTCTTCCCCAACAGCCATGAAATGTTATAGCAAAAAGAATTTAATTTAGGAAGTGGGTAGTCCTTTCTAAAGAATGAGAGGTTAAGTAGTGAATTGCTAGATAAGTAGACTTTTACCAGACTAATGATGAGGGGAGAGATTATTATAGGTGGAGGGAACAATGTGTGTGAAGAGAGATGGTAAAGCATTTGGGAGTGAGAAAACTCTACACTGAAACTTAAACACTGATGGAGAAGGTCAAAAATCTTATGTGGCATATAAAATCATGGAGGACCTTATATGCCACATGAATAGCAAGAGTTCACTTTGAGGAGGGGAGTGATTACTTTGGCTCCTTTGAGTAGAAAGGAATGGAGGAGACAGGAGTGGATGAAGAAAGACTAAGCAGGCTGTGATATAGGGAGGCAAGAAGGGATGACAGAGAAAGATAGGATGTGGTAAGGATTGGAATTAAGAGATAATAGGAGATAATATTGTTAAGATTTGATAATTTATTGAATGTGGGAAAAAGGTCAGGTGACTTTTGAGTTTAAGATTTGAAAGTCTTGCCGAAACCGGTTTGGCTCAGTGGGTAGAGCGTCGGCCTGCGGACTGAAGGGTCCCGGGTTCGATTCCGGTCAAGGGCATGTACTTGGGTTGCGAGCACATCCCCAGTAGGAGATGTGTGGGAGGCAGCTGATCGATGTTTCTTTCTCATCGATGTTTCTAACTCTCTATCTCTCTCTCCCTTCCTCTCTGTAAAAAATCAATAAAATATATTAAAAAAAAAAAAAAGATTTGAAAGTCTATCAAATGAGGAAGTACTATATCCTGAAATGAGAAACAGATTTTTTTTTTTGGTTGGGGAAAGGGTTGAGTTAATGTGTTTCAATAATGTATGTAGAATTTGAGGAGCCTATAAAACATACAAATTGAGATGTCTAGAAAGCAGCTGGTTATGTGAGTTTAAAGTGCAGAGAAAACAGACTAATATTATACATATGGGAGTTTTGGGCAAATATTAAGACCATAGGAATTAATAGTTTCAATTAAAGTACCCATTGGGCATGCCTGATATGACGATATGTGAATTATTCAATACATAAGATTAGGTAGGCATCTTGGAGATGGTAGGGAGAAAGAGTGTGGACTTTGAGTTGAGAGAGTGTTATGGACTGAATGTGTTCCCTCGAAAGTCATATGTTGAAGCCCTAACCCCAGTATGACTATTTGGAGATGTAGCCTCTAAGGAAGTAATTAAGTTAGATCATAAAGGTGAGACACCCCCTCCTCCCAATCAGATAGGATTAATGTCCTTATAAGAAAAGACAACAGACAGCTTGCTCTTTCCTCAAAAGGTCATGTGAGGGCAGAGGCTGTCTTCCAATTAGGGAGAGAGCTTTCACCAGGAATCAACCTGCTGACATCTTGATCTTAGACTTCCCAGCCTCCAGAACTGTGAGAAATAATTTTCTGTTGTTTATGTCACTGAGGCTTAAACCTGAGGTACTTTTAAAAAATATATATTTTATTAATTTTTTACAGAGAGGAAGGGAGAGGGATAGAGAGTTAGAAACATCAATGAGAGAGAAACATCAATCAGCTGCCTCCTGCACGCCCCCTACTGGGGTTGTGCCCGAAACCAAGGTACATGCCCTTGGCAGGAATCGAACCTGGGACCCTTCAGTCCGCAGGCCGACGCTTTATCCACTGAGCCATACTGGTCAGGCCTGAGGTACTTTTTATGGCAGTCTGAGCAGACTAATACAGAGTGTAGGAAAAAACTAGCATTTATTGGTTGCTTAGCATTTGCTAGGGAGTTGGCTAGGTGGTGCACATTGATGATCAGCAGAATAATGACCCCCAAAGATGGTCAATTATAATTTCTGGAATCTGAGAATTTAAAGTTGCTAATTAGCCAGGCCAGCGTGGCTCAGTGGTTGAGTGTGGACCTAGGAACGAGGAGGTCATGGTTTGATTCCCCGTCAGGGCACATGGACTGGTTGTGGGCTCAATCCCCAGGTTCAGGGCGTGCAGGAGACAGCCAATCAAGGATTCTCTCTCATCATTGATGTTTCTCTCTCTCTCTCTCCTTCTCCCTTCCTCTCTGAAATCAATACAAATATATTTTTAAATCAATTAAATTGCTAATCAGCTGACCTTAAAATGGGGATATTATCCTGGATTATCTGGATGAGCCCAGTAGTTATGAATCCTTCAAAGTGGAAGAGGGAGGCAAAAGAGAAGTTCATAGTGATGTGATATGAGGATTCAACCAAGTGTTGGTGGCTTTGACGATGGAGGGAGGGGACTATGAGCCAAGGAATGCAGATAGCTTGTAGAACAAAAAAAGAAAAAAATGAAGGGATCTCCCTTAGGGCCTCCAGAAGGAATACCCTGACAACGCCAGTGAGGACCCTTGTCAAAATTTCTCTGCTATGTGATGGTAAACAAGTAAGTTGTGTTAGTTTAGATTATGAGTTTGTGGTAATTTACTATAGCAGCAATAGAAAAGTAATGAGAGTTCATATTTCATACAATCCTCATGAAAACCCCAGAGAGAAGTTGTGCTGATTCTTTTTGCTGATGAATTGTATTATTTCTCTTCACCTCATGTTTGTTGATTAGCAAATTACTAATTTTTCCTGATGTCTTCAGCATGTAGTACAGTATTCATTGAAGTTGTTGCTTTAGGCAGACACTTAACACAAATGTCATTGTAGTAAAAATCTGCACAAAAGAGTGATTTTCAAGAAAGATATTGGTCAGAAGAAAAGTGTCTTTTGTTCCTTGGTTATTGTTTTTCCTGCCTTGGTTGGAACCACAGGAATTCTTAGGTTAACTAATGTCAGAAAACAAATGGTGTGATTGGTTCATTATAATTTTCATGGCTACTCTTACTGGTGCTTTGCCATTTGTGTGCTCTGGGCAGGCTAAATGTTGTCTCTTTCAAATGTCCTGTTCATTGATTTGTTTTCAAACTCACAGTGCTTGATACTAACTTCCACAGGCATCCACCTCCTAGTCCAGTCACCTCTAATATGCAGCAAGGGGGAGCTACATCAAAGCACACCACTGTGAGAAACTATTACAGTTTCCCAATCTCCGGGAATCTCCTATTCTTCATCTTCTTTACCCCAACGCTGTGAAACAACTCTTGTGTCCTTTGTCATGGGTCTAATATTCCTGAAGGCCTGGGCAGGGATTTTTTTAGTGTTCCCTTGGAAAATGTAACTCTTAATTGATTCTTACTTCCTCTTGAGGTGGGAAGACAAGGGGATATGCTGATATAAGTAATCTTAGACCTCTATAGAACATAAAGATGTGGCTATGTGAGGATGGGAAAGGGGAGAAAATGTTTGTTTCTCTCTTATATCAGGAAGGATATGGAAGAACTTATTATATAACTCAATAGAGTGTCTTTTCATATAACATTTTTTAACTCAAATTGGAAAAGTTTGGTTATGCTGAAAATGAATTTGTAGAGAATGACTCTTCTTGACTATAAGTTATAGTAAAATCACAAATTTATTGAAAATACAACAGAGATGGGCAAAGAAAATGTGGGGTGGGGGGTTCTCTTAATTTCCTTCTTGCTAGAGAAGAAGGAAATAGAGGGAACATCATAAAATTACCAACTCATTTTTTTGTTTTGTTTTAAGTAATTATGAAGTTGCTCTCTCTCTTAGGCCTTTTTTACTCCTTCTTTCCTCTCTGCAGTGGGATGATAGTTTGGGGCCTGAATCATTTGCAAACATCTTCATGCAAACATCTCATGGTTGATGCTGGTTTGGAGCTAGAAACTAGGCTGGTTATGGGCTGGAATTCCTACATGTAGCCTCTCCACTTGGTTTCTGTGTGTGGCACAGTTTCATCCTCCTCCCAGAATAGCAGCTGGGTTCCAAGAATAAGTGTCACAAAGCAGACTGACATATTGATTAACTGGCTCAGAAGTCATGTCTGCTATACTATATTATTTGCATCAGTTATAGATGTCCACCCAGGTAAAAGGGCAGTGAGGCTTCACCATGCTATGGGAGGAGAACCAAGGTCACACTATGAGAAAAGCATGTGGGATGGGAGATATTGTGCCCATCTTTGGAAGATACAATCTGCTATACATCCTCATTCAGGCCTTCTGCAAACGCATGTTACACCACCATTATGAGAATTTTATAGACTTCTCGTGTTTGTATTATGAATTCCTTTTCCCATTTCAGCTTGCCACATTTCCTGCTTAGAGCTTTGCAATCAGACCATATTTTTAATGTATTTATGTGTGTGTGTGTGTGTGTGTGTGTGTATGTATGTATATATATATATGTATAATCATATAATCTCTGGTTATAGATTTCAGTATGTCCAAGCTAAAGAGAAAAATTACTCATTGAAACCTTGTATTCCCCTGGAATTCTAGATTTTACTTTTTTATTATCTCAAATTGATCTGTCCTCCTGTATGTCTGTTCCTACTACCAGCTTCTCTTGCCTTACTTACCTTTGGGGAGTCTTTTTCCTGGTCTTAATACTAAAATTTGTGAGCATTGAGGTCTCTTCATTCAAGAATATGAAGTCTTTGCTAGGCCCAAATCCATTAAGGATATCCTTCTTGAATGAAGAAGAGAATCATGTAATCACAGTAGGTTTTTGTTTAGCCTTCATTTAGTATCTTAGAATGGCTAAAATGTTTTAGAGATCATCTAATCTTTCTGGGATCACTTCACCCCTAATCTTTCTAACATCTAGTCTAGAATAAACTGAGTCCTGGAGAGTTTCAGTGTGGTCAAACTGTGGTAAAGTCAGAATCAGAGATTGAAATTAATCCTTCTGATTCCTAACCCCATGTTCTTTCCACTGTATAAGCAAGATAGTTATACACATTGAGGCCGGGAATGCTATCCATGACTCCATGTGGAGAGGACAACAGAAGCTTCACATTTAGACTTTTTCTGGATTCTGCTGTGTGTGCTTCTTCTCTTGATTAATTTTAATCTGTATTCTTGCCATGCAATACTCCATAACTGTGAGTGTACAGTTTTCAGTGAGTTCTGTGAGTCCTTCTGGTGAAGTATTGAGACTAATAGTGGTTTGGGGAACATTCTGAACTCACAATTGGTGTCAGAAGTGAGTAAAGTTCTGTGTGGACTATGTTGTCTAAATTTGCAGTTGGCTTAAACACACAGTATACTTATATTTGGATTGTTTTTGTTCACAGTTATACTCCTAACTACCTAGAACAAAATCTAGCATGTAATAGGCATTCATTCAATATTACAATAAATAAACGATTGGAAGGCGCTGACTAGTATGAGAAATTAAGAGACTGCTTATGAAATGCAATACTACAGAACCATGTTGAGAAAAGCTTCCAAATAATGCAAACCGGGTCTCTTTTTTATTATATTGTGAGTAATACCGTGATGTTTGCTGTCTTCAAAATGGTTACCTCTGTCAGTCACAACTCTTGGAAGTCTTTGGGATTATATATTATGTGTTTATATTATTACTAGGGAGTTTTAGAGATTAAGTCTTTTCAGTTTATATGAGTTACCACCAGATGGTGATATTTTTATTAAGTAAGTAGCTTTTGTCTGTAGATATATAATTTATAGAAAAAAGAGACAACTTATATGAAATGTAATATTTATTAATAAGAAGAACAATAGAATAATGCAAGGGTAAGATATTTAAATATAGCACAAAATATCTATAAGGGTGTTATATCATTTCTTATTATATCAGGAACACATTTTTATAGTCACAATGACATTAAAGTGTAAGTGGATTTTACACTGATGTAGCTGAACCTTCTCCTCTCTGATCAAGGCTTGGGAGGAGGAAACACTCAAGCTTAGGCACAGCCCCTGTAGAGGGTTTTTGTAGATTCAACCACTGTTGGGTTGGAGTTTGATGTGTTATAGGTTACTAATGTGATACTGATTAGCCTTCCAAGCTGTGGCTTTGGGCTAAATTATCCTGGTATAGTGTCAATACAGCAGAACATTTAAGTGTATCCATGGTGTGGTTAATTCAACAACCAAGTTGTTTTTGTTTTTCAGTTGCCACAGCATAGGCCCAGTTACAGTGGGGGTAGGGGTGGGGGTGGGAAGGATGGGGACACAGAAGGGAAAGAGGATATTACTATTTTCCAATCAAATTCTCATGCTCTTTAAATATTGGTTTTCATTAATCTTAAAATATGTACCTAACAATCATTTAGTAAAATATATTGGATTGTTTCTTTGCTTGAGATACTCATATCTTTGAGAAAGAAAAAAGCACCTAAAGTTGGAATATTATTTGAACTAAAATTTTCTGTGCTTTAAAAATGGCTAAGAAAGTTTGTCAAATCTGCAGCTTTAGAAACAGACACTTTTGTTTTGGACTTAGAGGATTTTTCTCTACTTTACCCAGAAATTTTGTTAGTCTAGTTGGGTGTACCTCACAGAAAATAATTTGGCAGTTTTTCCTCAATTTCCATTCAATTAAAGTGAACAGTTCTAGAAATGATGAAGTTTATATTTACAACCTTTCCTAATAATGTTTCGGTTAAAGACTATTTGTAGTTCCACTTGTAACATACAAAGTATTTGTTTTAAAGGCAGTCTTGACATACTGAAAAGATGAAAAGAAAACACTGTTATATTAAAGAGAGAAAGAAAATTTAAAAATTCAGTAAACAATTTGTATTTTTATAGAAATGAAGGAAACAACTATTTACAGACTAGGGGCATGCATGGTTTGAAGTTGGAAGTTAATTTGCAGTTTTATACAAGAATATATTTTCTAGACATCAGTGCAAAGTTAAAGCTGTAACTGTAATAAGCTTGCTTTGCTAATCACATTTCGGCAAGCCTCTTCCAACACAACTCAAGAGTTTTGCTACATTTCTTTCATTCCCCAAATGTCTTTTCCCCCCTTGCAGTTTAAAGCCCAACATTATGTGTAGAAACATGCATGGGAACAGTATACTCATTAAGCTTATATAATTTTTTGTTTACTCTGATGTTGACAAACATTGGCAAAACATTAATAAACTAGGCCAAGATTTGATTTAGAAAAGATTTTTAGAAATTGGATAAGAAACAAATCTTTTAATTACCACAGTGTGTGATCATTAAAGTGACACATCAAAAGCACTTAAATGTTTGCACTATTTCCAGCTGTTTGCAGTACAAATAAGTAACTAGTATATCTGTAAAGCTTATGTAAACCAACAAATGAAAAAGGAAATCAAAGAGCCTTAGAACAAAGGTGTTAGTTTAGCGGGGTGAAGTTGAGGCACCATTCTTGCCTGTACTAGACCAAGTGGTCACTAGCTACCCTTGCTTTCTTCCTCTCTCTTCCTGTAAGCTTGATTTAACAACTGGATTTCCTCTTGGTAGCCATCCCTCTCTTGATGCTGCCTTTTACTGTTCTGCCTGTGTGCTTCAACGGTGTCTGGGATGGAGATGTTGATATTACCATCAGGATTACTTGTGGGTAAAAAGAGAGAATACGAGGCTGTTTCTCCTAAGTCACATGAAACAAATCTGTTTTCTTTCCGTGAGTAGCGTAGGGATGGAGATCGGACCTGTGTGGAGGACTGGCTGATGTTGCTAATGATCGACACAGTGTCCAAGGCCTCTTCATTATCACAAATTTCAAGAACCTCCAAATGTATTTTTACACTGGTGTCCGCAAATGTGGATGGAGAATCTTCTGAGTTTGGTTCATGGCCAACACTTTTGGATCGATAGACTTCTATTTTCTTAGAGGCTGGGGTTATTTTCTGTCCTTCTGTGCTTACCTCATAGGTAGAAAGAGATAGTGTTTTCCCTGTGGGGGCCTGGAGAGACACCATCCCCTGGAACGCACACAAGGGAATGGCAAGGCCACCACCGGAACGCTGGGGACAAAAACAAAATAGTGATTATTGAAAACTAGTTTCTGAGATTAGGCCATTTAGAAAGTCGTTTTATTCATCAAAATGGTAATTTTTTGCTAATAGAGATCTATTTCCTTAGAAGCCTTTTACAGATAATGGCTTTAAATTCTTCCATCATGCAGTTTGTTCTAGATCAAATACAACATCTAAATGAGGGCAGTCAGGAACCTTTCTTTGAGGATATGGGAGATATTTCTATTGCTGAAAACAAAATTTGTGTATTGATGGGCAGCAGGAGATGTTTTCAAGAGAAGAATATGAGCATAAAATTAAATGCAATTTATAATCTAGAATTGCTTTTATGTATTTGCTACATAGTAACATTGAGAGGTTTGCATAGATTGAAAGCACCCCAGTCCCCCTTAGAATGCCAGAGAGAACTATGATTCAGGTTAGGTACAAAAAATATTTCAATGGTTAGGTTTGCGCACACAAAAGAGGAACCAAGTTTCACTGAAACTGTGCTACAGTATGCTTATTTTTCCACAGAGAAATCACAGTCGTTTAGTAAACCCAGTGATCAGGAACTCCCCCAATATCTCTGCAAAAACTTGCCTAAAAATTTAAACCTTTTTATATTTAAAACTTTGTGTATTAAACTTTTTTAAAAATTGTACTCACCATTGAGAAATATTTAAGAAATGAAGAAAATACCAAATTTTATGATAGTCTGTACTTTATGTTGTTGATTCATACCTTTATTCTTTTAATGGGCTCCTTTTTTGATTACATGTTAGCCTCAGAAGAAGATATGCCAAACTACTAGAGCAGAGGTTCTCAAACCTAGGTCTCTAGATCAAGCATCATCAGTATCACCTTGTAACTTGTAAGAAATGTGATTTTTGAGCTCCATTCCGCAACTACTTAATTAGAAACTCTGAGGGTGGAGCTCAGTAATCTATATTTTATTTAATTAATTGATTTTTTTTTGTTAATCCTGACCTGAGGATATTTTTTCCATTGAATTTTAGAGAGAGTGGAAGGGAAGAAGGGAGAGAGAGAGAAAAACAAACAAACATTGATCAATCTGTACTTTAAATAAGCCTTCCAGGTGATTCTGTTGCATGCTGAGGCTTGGGATCCATTACTGTAACTAAAGAAATGACATAGCCCTTCATTCATTCAAAAAGAAGGGGCTATGGGATGGTTAACCTATACATTTATACATGTGTCACCTGTAAAGCCTGGAGATACTAACTGAGGAGTGTTAAGAGTGTTGGCTTAAGAGTGTTTTTCCAGTAGGGGAATTAGCATGAAGGCTCATGGTGTTTTGCCAATTTAGGATGATCAATCTCCCCAGTGTGTCTGTGACTGTCCCAGTTTTAGCACTGAAATTCCAGTATCCCAGGAAATCTCTCTATCCCAAAGAAACCAGAATGGTTGGTCACGCTGTTAGCCATGGGCATTTTGTATATGGACCTAAGAGTGGCTAGAGAAAGTCCAGGACCAGGGTCCTGCTATTGGTGAATAGTTTGGATTCTCATCTACTTGGAGAATTTTTACAGGAGGATGCCTCATGCCATCATACCTCACTCCTTGAATTTAGGGACCATGAAAAGTACAGTCTAGGACATGTGAGACATGTCACTAGGCTTTCCGTTATTCCCTATGGAGAAATCTTGAGCTCTGTTTATCTATCAGGAAACCTGGGAACCTAACTTGAGGGCCTTGTCCTTTCATAAACTTTGAAATCTTACACTGTAAAGATCAGTTTACCCTTCTGCTGAGGCAAAGAACTTCACCAGCTTCACATGTGTGATGTTGACTGAAGCAGGAGAGACAGAGGGACAATTCTTAGGTTCATTGCAGTACCAGAGAATTGTTTGAGTGGCAACAACTTTTGGCAAAGGAGAAGTGACTTTTATTTATTTATTTTATACATTCATTCATGAAACATTTGCTGAGTACCTATTATGTGCACTATCCTGAATTTAAATTGGTTGTACAGATATACTATAAACTATACATATAATACATATCCTATATAATAAAAGCTTAATATGCAAATTGTCCCCTTGACTGGGAGTTCAGCCAAGGGGCAGGGCTGGCTGCGGTGTTGGCAGGTGACAGCCGCTAGGGACCCTACCCATGCAGGAATTTCATGCACTGGGCCTCTATATAAAGATTTACTATACTTGATTCAAAGACTTCACAGGTAATTGGGTGAGATAGACGTGAAGAAACAAAATAAAACTCTAAGTGTCTATTAGAGATAGGAACCAAGTTTTGTGGGTTTAAGTAAGGCATGACAACATCTGGTAGAAGATTTCATATAGGGTGGTATTTGACATGGATATTAAGAATCAAGAAAAGATTTAGGCCCTGGCTGGGTAGCTCAGTTTCTTAAAGTGCTGTCCTAAAATTCCAAGGTTGTGGGTTGGATTCCCGGTCAGGGCACATACAAGAAGCAACTAATGAATGTGTATAAATAAGTGAAACAATAAATTGATATTTATCTCTCACTCTCCCTTTCCTCTTTCTCTCTAAAATCAATCAGTACATAAACATTAAAAAAGAAAAAAAAGATGCCCTGGCTGGTTTTCTCAGTGGTTAGAGCGTCGGTCTGCAGACTGAAGAGTGCCAGGTTCGATTCCAGTCAAAGACATGTGCCTTGGTTGCGGGCACATCCCCGGTGGAGGGTGTGCAGGAGGCAGCTGATCAATGTTTCACTCTCATCGATGTTTCTGGCTCTCTATCTCTCTCCCTTCCTCTCTGTAAAAACTCAATAAAATATATTTTTTAAAAAAGAAAACAAAAAAAGAAAAGATTTATAGTTTTAAATTTACAGTTTTGAAAGCCATTCTTTCTGAGTAATAAGTCATAAATTAAAGGGCCAACTTAAAGGTTTTCCATCCTGAGAAAATCTTTGTTATCAAAGTCAGAAATTTCTGGTTTTTTTAAAAATAAAAATTGACAGACATTTATATAATCAGAAAATCTGACTGTCATTTAATAATGTGAATTATAAATACCTCGCACAGCCTTCTTTATTCTGAAAGCTAGTTAACCTGAAAGCTGAACTTCCTTACATTACAATTTATTGGAAGAAGATAAAAAAAACCCTACATCAGAACTTGAAAAATTGTTTATAAGTTTTCTCTTTGATATAGAATGTTGCATAAACAGAGTCCTATGGATTATTATATTTAAAAAAAGAAAAATGTGCCCAGCCACTGTGGCTCAGTGGTTGAGTGTTGTCCTATGAACCAGGAGGTCAGGGTTCGATTCCCAGTTAGGGCAGATGTTCAGGTTGCAGGTTCCATCCCCAGTAGGGGGCCTGCAGGAGGTAGCCAATCAATGATTTTCTGTCATCATTGATGTTTTTCTCTCTCTCTCCCTTTCCCTTCCTCTCTGAAGTCAATAAAAAATATATTTAAAAAGAAAAAAGAAAAATGTGATGAGAAAACTGAGTTACCAGTGCCCAGCAGTATTGGCACATCTATTTTAAAAGCACATTTGTTAGAGCATCAACAGCATAACATGTCTTTATACCATATACCAACTTGAATCACTGATGAGCAGTTAATATAAAAGCAAATATGATAAATAATTTTTTGTGTGTCTGGTTTTATACATCCACATAATGCACATTTTAGTAACTCTCCCTTGCTAACCTTATCTTTAAATGAACAAACAAGCTTTACTGAGTTATCAAATGACAGCTCATTAAAATTGGTATTTGAGAGTTGCATAGTGCCAGAGTTTTGCTAAGTATGAAGTCTCATTATTCTGAAATAGCACACTAAGTCTTTTGTTATCAAAATTATTTTGTGACATCTTTTTTCTTTCATGCATGTTTATAATAGCTGAATATATGTGCTGACACATTGTGTATATATCTGTACATGTAACACACTAGTAACATGAATATGAAATATACATATATTTTAATGCAAATATTGAAACATTCTGATTTAAAATGATGGTCTCCACTTGAGAGTCATAAAAGTAAAAACACAGAGACAGATTATATAGAAACAGTTCTGAGCATATATCTTTATACTATTAATCCAAAACTGGCAAGTTAGTTTTAGCAAAATAGTACATTCACTTAAGGCTAATTCAGTAGTTTTAATTTTATTGGTTATGAAAGTATTTAATGTTTAAGTTGTTTTGGTTTTAGATTTATGTAAGAAGTACTAGTGTAAGGTTTATGCCAAATTTTGTTTGTATGTCTTTAATCAAAATCAAAAATTTGATTCAATAAGTTCATAAAAAATGTTTTCTTTAAAAGAGACTATTATTTAAGTTAGAGAAACATTGCGTTAGTGGAGGGAAAATAGGAGCTTGGACTAAGGGAGTAGTAATAGGGATAGAGATTCAGGGAGGGACCTGACAGAATTTGAGTAAAATCAGCAGAATTTTCCACCTCTTTTAGGATATGGAGGGAGGGCTAAAATGGAGAGAAATCGGAAGCTGTGAGAACAGACATTCAATTACTATTAAGTGCTAGCACTGGGCTGGCTGGTAGGCCTGTAGCAAGATGAAGAGGCTTTCAGGTCTTAAGAGCCCATAGAATACAGAAATAACGAAGCTCGCAAACAATTACATTTTCCTGTGATTCATGCTACAGTAGATCCAAGCTGAAAAATTGTGAGAATGTGGAATAATAGCACTTAACCGAGGTGGAGGGAGGGAAAAGGAGGCCTAAGAATCCTTCCCAGAGCAGAGCTCAATTTTTATAGATGAGTAAAGATACCATTTTAAGTTATAAAAGTAAATTGTAAAATAATATTAATAGTATGATCCAGTTTTCTTGTAGAAAAACACCTACCAGAAATGAATCCAGTAAATTATATGTTTACAGGCATAAAAAAAATAGATACACAGGCATACACATATACATATTGTAGGCATAGGAAAAGGTTTGAAAAAACTTTTTTCTGGAAGTAGATGGGGAAGGATTTCAACATTTATATTTTACTAGAGGCCTGGTGCACGAAATTTGTGCATAGGAGAGG